TGTTCGAGTTCTTGTTTCAAGTTGCTGTGTCTACTTCTTTGTGGATCGATACAACTCTCAATTCTATGAAGGAAATGAGTTCTGATTCAATTAGCTGTGAAACTCTTACATTGATGACAATATTCTTGCTCTTTTCTTGTGTTGTTTATGCACCTTTTCCACAGCTAAGCTCCACCATAACCCAAATCTTGCGATGTATTGATTATTTCCATAACCACCTTATCATGTTAAAATGCTGAAACTTATTTCTAGAGAAATAACATTAGATGTTTGAAATTATTCAGGTGGACAAGGATAAAATTGCAAGTTGGGTCTTGTCCTTTCAAGCACTTCCTACAAACAAGGCTGAAAAAACCAACGGTATGAACTTCGTAAGAAATTTGGTGTCACATGATTGCTTCTAAATAGTCATTTGAGTTACTTGTATTCAGTACTTTCACTCTGATATGTGAAATTTCTTATGGATACAAGGTTTTCAAACTGGCCTATGTTTATGAATTATTTTTGCTTCAAAGTTTAAACAGACTACAGAGAAAGTGCAAAATTTACATGGAGAAAGTGCCTGGTAATTAGCTTTTGGTTTGTTGCAGGAAAATTTTATGGATTCTGCGGATCAAGAAGTTCTCAGTTCCCTCCAGATGAGGATGGGGTATGATAAACACATAATGCACGAAGCTACCTATTAGACCTTTGGAGATAGCATATTAGTGTTTATGATTTTTGTTTCCTTATGGCACCCAATATCTGCTCTCACTGTTGGCACATACGTTAGTGCAGTGAAAATGAGAGCCGTAGTTCATTTTAATCCTTTTTAATAATAGTTTATATCTCCTTATAGGTTTTACTGCACAACGGTAGTCACTTGGCAAGCTCGTACTGTGCCCTTGCAATACTGAAGATAATTGGTTATGATTTCTCCAATATTGACTCTGAATCGATTGCAATCTCAATGAGAAACCTTCAACAATCTGATGGGAGGTATTTTTTACAGCTTTTATGTTTATTTATTAGTTCTTTTTTTTTTCTTTTTTTGATACAACATGTGGGAGTGGGGGTTCAAACTCATGACCTCTTGATCAGAGATAGGTGCCTTAACCACTTGAGTTATGCTCGGTTTGACGTTTATTTATTAGTTCTTAAAATGTATTTTCATTGTATCTTTGTGCCCAACTGGTAATTGATTGACACCATTCAAGCATATTCATTATTTAAGTAGATACTACTTTATGACGAAGGTTGGCATATATTTAACACTTAGTTTTGAAGTGGAAACATAAGGTGTATATACACTACTACAATTGAATGTTTCGGTGAACCCTCTAAAGTTACATGCTTTCTTGTGGAAATTAGGCTGTAACATGATATTTTTTTTATCTTAGGCCCAAATCCACCATTTATCATTTAAATGCTGCCAAATTCTCTGCATTTTTTTCCTTGTATAATGAAACTAAAACCGACCTTCTTTGGCCCAAATGTTCATCCTTACAGCATCATGCCTATCGATACCGGAGCAGAGGCTGACCTTCGGTTCATCTATTGCGCTGGTAATTGAAAGCTATTTATGGCTTTAATCTTAAACTATGCGAACATAAGTAGAATATATTTACGATGCCATTAAGCAATTACTCAGCTGCCATCTGCTATATGCTTGGGAATTGGACCGGAATGGACAGGCAGAAATCTAAAGCCTACATATTGAACTGCCAGGTCCACAATCTTGTCTTTTGTGTGTTTATTGAGTTGTCCTCCTGTAGCAAATAACGATCATCTTGACTTTTTTGTAATGACTTTCTTGTAGTCATATGATGGTGGCTTTGGGTTAACTCCTGGTTCAGAATCTCACGGTGAGATTAATGATACTATTAATTGACAAATCTTCTAGCTGTCTTGTCTACTTTTTTTTATTGTAGGATCTATTATAATTTCACGTTCTGTCCATTTAATTTCCATCAAGTTGATCATCATTTATGGATGATTGGGTTTAGTGACACAGGCGGTGGAACGTATTGTGCTATTGCATCTCTCCGTTTGATGGGTTTCATTGAAGATGATCTTCTCTCCAGAGATCATCCTTCTTCCATAATAAACGTCCCGTTGTTGCTGGAGTGGTGTTTGCAGGTTCATTTTCATCATCCTACCATAAAAGAGTTCTCCATACCTTCGGCATTGTAATGCTTAGAAATTTTGACTTCCACTAGTATATAAATTGGAAGCAGATAAATGTTTATGAAAAATAGTCTTTCTTCCTTTGATTTTTCCAAAATCAGTTGCTTTCTCATTTCAACGTGTTTATCAAATTATTCATCTAAGAGTTACCTAAATATTCTTGTATTCGGATTGTAGAAACAGGCAGCTGATGGAGGATTTCAGGGTCGACCTAACAAGCCTGCTGACACTTGTTATGCATTTTGGTAAGGAAAAAATAGATGTGTGGTCATTATTGTAGGACCATATGGGATTTAGCTCTTGACGAAGTCGTAATGTGTTAGGATTGGATCTACCTTGAGGATTTTAGGGGGCCTTCATTTCATTAACAAGAAGGCTTTGAAGGGATTTCTGTTGACGTGCCAGTCTAAGGTATTATCGCTTCTCTTTACGTTCGGTTTGCTTTCATTCATAAGACGGAAAATTCAAGATTTCCCCGCATGATAAATCATGCAAGAACAGTTCTAAAACAGATATCAAAACTGTGATGCCTAGTCCCGACTTCCGAACCTAATTGTAGGGGTTATGCACTTCAATATGATTTTCAATGTTAAACTTTTTGCTGTGATCTTCCTTGACAGTATGGTGGTTTCAGTAAGTTTCCGATGGAGTTTCCCGATTTGTACCACTCCTACTATGGATTTACTGCATTTAGCCTCTTGGAAGAACCGAATGTCAAGCCTTTGTTTGTCGAACTCGGAATAAGAGATGCTGCTGCCTGGAGAATCTGATGCGAAAGTGCTTGTTCGATATGGTGTGGATTATTTTCACTGCTATACCAAATTGGGTATCATATATTTCTCCCTTTCTAAATCTTTAACTTAGCCTGCATAACTTATCACAAAGAAACGTAGGGTTTGATCTTTGCTGTTCATAAGTCCAGATGGAGCTTCATTAAACTCTTGTTTGTATACTTTCTAAAATGCCTTCCATCCCTTCTGATTGTAATGTAATATTTAAAGTTTTTAAACACAAGATCTGGTTTTGATGCTCTGTTTATTTAAGTCGAGTAAACAAATATATGTTTTCACAGCAACTTATCAATATCAACAACAATCTGTTTATGGGCATGGTTCATGAGCAGACTCATGCTTTACCTCTGATGAAGGGGTACTCAGTTCCACTATAAAGTTATTTGTAATCTATAGAGCAAGAGGCTATTGGAGGGGAGGACAAAGGAAATGCCCAAAGCCCAAATATTGTCGGTTTTTCCTAATATTTTGAAGTTTAAAGAAACGTAGTTTATCAACAATTTAGACCCTAAATTTTAGTTTGTAATAATTTTATCTCTACACTTTCAAATTGTTTACAATTTAATCTATGTTCATAGGTAACAATTTAGTTTCTATAGTTTAAAATTTGCAATAATTTAACCCTTAATATGAAAAACATCATCAAATTTAAATGTGAATTTTTATTATATAATAATTCATTTACAAATACATTTTGTTCTTCATAGTATCAAATCTTAACAATATTTTTCATATAAGAATTAAATTGTTACAAATTTTGAACTGCAAAGATTAAATTGTTACGTATTGAAGTTTACAGACTAAATTGTTATAAATTTATTTAAAAATAAAAGGATTAAATCGTTACAAACTAAAATTTAAAAAGATTAAATCATTACAAATTAAAATTCAAAAATTAAAAAAAAATTATTAAAACTGCAAGCCCAGCAAAAAGGACGTTGAAGTCACTCACTTTTTTCAAAAGGTGAGGTTGAATTCACCAATAAAGAAATGGTACAGAACCATGTTGAAGTTCAATCAGTCAGTTCATTTGATTTGATAACCATTTTGGTTCTTTTTAACTTTTATATTTGTTATCGGTGTACCAAAATAGGATTTATTACTTCTATTAAAAATTTAAGTTCTCTTTTTTTATCCTTAAATTTTGTTTCTTCGCTTTTTAATTTTTTAAATGTCTTCAAATATCTTGCCACGTTACCCATCATCTTATGAATCTTATATGTTAATTAAAAAAAAAAGACGGGCCTTTACTTGATATTTTTTTTAAAAAAATTATTGATAAGGATTAAAACAATTTTTATGTAAATTTTAGGGAGTAAACATAATTCTAAAAGTTAAAGCATCAAATGGAGATAAAGCCAGCAATAGGAAGCTAGCAAGAATATATTATTCACAACCTCCTGCTTTAAAATAAATGTTGAGCACGATCGATAGTTCAATCTCTTATCCTTATAATTATTGAATTAATAAAAAAACATCCTACTTTATTTTTAGAATCATGAATGGTTGGTTCTTTTTACTCTTATAACATTTGTGTGACCGAGTAAGCTCACACCAACCTCATTAGCTCACATGAGACAATATCTCGACCTTACAGAATTTGAAACCTCAACGCATGAGATTCACGACTATTATTCTTACCATTGGTCAATTGGAACAATTCTAAAAGTGATGTTATTCAATATGAAATGAAACCAATTAATTACGAAATAACAGTAAGATTATTACCCTCCATGATGTGAAGTGGGAGAGATTTGTACTGTTGAAATATTTTGGAGGGCATRGAGCAAATACAAATATTATGAGTACATGTGCCACTAAAGTTCAAGAGTCATGATTCAGCTTTAAAAATATGGGAAACACAGGCAAAAGGCAATGCCTGTGATGATTCTTCAAGGTGGGGGCAGGGCAGCAAGCAACCTATTCCGACAATACATTTTCACGGGCAATTTCCTCCCTTTGTCGTTTTAAGGAAAAAAAAAAAAAGAGAAAGGCAAAAGCATCTAAAACCTGTCCTGTCCTTCTCTTCTCCACCTTTGTCTCTTTCTTCTCAGTGGTACTTTTGCAAGCCACGTACTGCTAAATGCCTAAAACCCTTTGCCAGTTCATCGAAAGATAAAAAAGGTGAGGAGGGAAAGTCTAGTCTTTTGATACCATAATTTTGGTATGGTGGGAGATATAGTTATGCTATGGAAGAATACAACTTTATTTTTCACTCTTTGCATTATGTTCATGACCCACCAATACAACTTCATTTTTCGACTCTTTGCATTATGTTCATGACCCACCACTTCGTTCATCCCGGGCTAGCTCAACGAGATCACAAAAGTTCTAATTTAGGAAAAGTAACAGGGATTTCTGGGTTTTAATCCTAATTGATCAGTCGACCTAATCTACTAATCTGTTCTAACAATTGATGACTTTCTAGAATTTTTGGGTTTTAATCCTATCTGATCAGCGACCTGGTCTACAAATCTATTCTGACTATTGATGACTCCCTAGAATTTCAGGAGGAGTAGGCATGGTAGCTCTTTCTATTTCTGAGGTATACTGACATGTTGAGAAGCTTGACTACAGGAAAACTTGAGGATATTTTCGAACTAGGTAGAAATTATGTTTTCTATTATGGTTATGTAGCATGGATTTGTTCAAATGTGATGGAGATAGAAAAAACAAGGGAAAGGGGAGAGGAGGAAGATGAAAGATACAGCAGAAGATCATTGCCTTCAAAAAGGGATTTTACAGAGCTCTTTTTACTCCAAGTTTCAGTATTACCATCAGCCACAAGAAGACTTTCAGGTAGACAAGCTTAAGAGACATGGAGATTGAATAAAACAAATATCCCACAAGTCATCCATCCACTTGCATCAGGCCCACCTCCCATTTCCCAACATCATTTTCTAGAGAATGCTGCCCTTCAAATTTAAGTCGAAAAAGGTAATTGCAAATGCAGCAGATTAGCCTACAAATTCCCACCCTTAAAACACTTCAAAAGCAACAACTTTAACCCAACACAAAGAAGAGGATTAAGATTAAAATTAAAATTTAAAACCCATTTCGACTTTGGTGAAGTGAATCAATCCTAATGGTTAGATTGGTTCTTGTTGACTGATGAACTGAAGGTTGATGGTGAAGATGGCAAGGGAAGTACCTGTGAAGAAGAACTTGAATGATGATACTGTTGTGTACAGGGATGATGGTGATTCAGCTCCCCTTCTTTGCTCCTGTCAACAACAATTGTAATATAAGATTTCTCCTCCTCATCTTTAAGTAACTTCTGCATTGAAGCTCTAGTTCTTGTATCTTCAACAGACTCGCTTGTATTATGAACACCTTTCTCAGCTGCTGCTTCCATAAGTTTCCTCTTGAGTTTCTCCTCTGCTTCCTGTAAAAACTTGAATTTTGGAGGAGGAGATGACCTCAACTTGTTGAACTCTGCATCTGATACTGATTCAAAGAGAGGGTTGAATCCATGGGGCTTATATGAGTCCGCAGGAGTGAGAGGAGGTGTGAAAAGGGTTGGAGAAGCTAATGGTGTCATATATGGAGTTTCCACAGTAAGAAGCAGATCACTCAAGCTCCTACTTCTTGATTCTTTTCCATTCTTATCTATTCTGGACTTCCCATCTTCAGACTCTAAATCTTCCTTGGTTTCTTCTATTATGGTGAAGAGAAATCTTGGTGGGCCTGACAGGGTTTGGAGCCTCATAAACTCTGTCTCTATGCCATCTTCTCCAAATGGTTTCAGCAAGAAATCATTATTTGGGTGCAAATTGAACTGTGCTTCTGGGCCATGGATCATTGTTTCTGTGAATCGTACTGATGAACTTAGATCTTGAGGATTTAGAGCTGAGTGCCTTAAAGAAGATGACCTTTTCCAACAAAACATGTAAAATAGCTCTCTGGCTGGGCTGCTGTAGTCATTTTCTACATCTCTGTCTGTAAACCTCTTCTTCCACCATAACAGATAATAAAGCTCAGCAACAAGAGCCAAGAAAAGGCAACCAAAGATTACACTCAAACCAAGTCCTACACTACTCAGAGATTTCATCCTCCTCACAATTACATCAGCTATCAAACTTTCTAAGTACTTCTATTCTATCCTTGACACAACGCAAACAGAAATTCCCATTTCACAAAGGCAGAACCAAACCAATAACCTTCAAATAATTCCTTGAGGGAAATATTTCTTTCACATGAAAAGTAAGTGAAGGAAAGCTTACAGTCGAGCTCCAAAAAAAAGTAGCCTCAAATCTTCCCAGTTCCCAGGATGTAGTTCAGCAGAAATTAAGCATATGATGAGTTTTGACCACAACTAACATGAAACGCAGTGCTGCATCATCAGAAAAAGAAAGCTTCAAGATTATCCAACTTTTTATGCCAATGACAGAAACTCCCACTACATTAAAATAAAACCCCACCTTTTTCTCTGAGAATCACACACTTCAATCATGAAAAATGATTACGAGCTTTTTTTTTTTTCCTTTTGAACCGAGAATCTATTAGACATACCCACCATTCTTCTGCTGAGAATATCATGGCTTGGGCTGAAGAAATACAACTTTCACATTCTAAAACCCCACTACCCCAAAAAGGGAGAATTGGTACAGGGAGTGAAAGATTCCGCAAACTGTAAAACCACTATTAAGTCTGTTTAAGCTGGAGAAAATGAAAAACAAGGAGCTGGAAAAGGAAAAATCACAGGCGTATAGCAACAGGGTCGGCAAATGCCGCAGTTGTTTATGGCTAGGGGGATGCGGATGCGGCCTTCGAGGGACGCTCACATGGGACCAGAAACAAATGGAATTTGCTCTGCTGTTCAATTTATTACACAATTTCATTTCTCTGGGAATACAACTACAGAAGCCCGCGCTTCTTTCCACTTAATGGGCTTTAAGCTGGATATGTTTGGCCCATTCCAGCCCACTATTTACATTTTCTGGATTCTTGAAACATTCAATAAACCAGCTTAAATAATCGACATAGATGATCTATTTAAAAATCATAATTACATAAATGATTGAAAGGTATAAAATTTACATTTTATCATGAAACAATAATTCATCACACAAATTACTAGTATATCATTTTAAGAATCCATCTCAATATTAAATAATTATTAAAATCTAGAATTGGTAAATTAGGAGGTCAAATGTGCTAATGATATTTTCTAAAATAAAAAATTCTCAAAACTCCAACAACCATCCATTTTCGAAATCCACCCTTTCTTCTTCCTCCGACCATCCGTTTTTCTTCGTCTGACCCTCCGTTCTTCTTCTTCGACCGTTTGTCGCCGTCTGCCTTCCTCTCTGGCCGACTCTGTTTTTCTCTGTCGCAAGAGCATTTCGTCTGCGTTTATCCCCTTTGAAAGGAGGTTTCTGTCGGTTCTTCTTCTCTGGTCGTTTCTGCCTGCCTTCGTCTCCGACCGACGTCTTCCTGCCTTCATCTTCGACCGCCTCCATTTTTCTCGGTCACCAGAACAGTTCATTTCCCGATTGAAAGGTTTGCATTCCAACGATTGTTTTCAATTTCTGATTTCGTGTGAAATATTGTATATATGAGGATATATATTATAGTGATTTGATTATGATATATTTTATAACTCAACTTGTATATATGCGGATATGCAGATATATGATTTTGAATGTATATATGCGGATATATAAGTGGATATATACTGTGATTTTTAATATATTTTTTGAATATGCAGATATATTTTATTGAGACTTTTATGTGATTTTGAATTGTCCTTGGAGATTAAGCAAAGTGTGGGAGTAAATTAAGAAAAAATCAATCTTTTTTAAGGAGTAAATTAAGGTTTCGAGGGAGTGAATTGAGAGATTTGTGTTGAAAAATAGTATGGGGCCCACAATAATTAAAGAATTATGATAATAATTATGAAATTAAATCTTTTAAATTAAAAAAAACAAATAACTATAATCAATGTAAATGCAAGGGTAAAATTGGAATTAGAATAAAATCCTACCAATAGAAATCTAAAAGTGTAAAATTGGAAAATTTTAGATATTCCTGTAAATAAATTTCTAAAACAGTTATCCGAAGACATTATCTCTATTTTATATGAAATGATTTAGAGTATCTCAAGTATATGTTAAATGCACTATGTAATAAAGTTATATATTATATAATCTAACAATTTTAGTATATGTATATATTATATAATTTATTAGACAAGTATATATTCATGTACGTTAAATTAAAATAAATAGCCATTGAAAAAATTAACAGGTCTTCGAAAAAGGAAATTAACCCGCCGAAAAGGACTGCATTTCACAATTGGGCTTTCTAAGTAACCCGGAAACATCTTAGCCCAATTTGGAGCCCACTGTTGCATCATATAGCGAGCACAACATATCAGTGATATCACCATCAATTTCTTCGACCTGACATGACCATGTAATTATTATTATTTTGGCATCAATTGATTTATTAGAATAAATTAATTTTAGTTGCGTCTGTAATTCTTTTAGAATATTAATTGGATGTTCCGTGCTACAACTTCAAATGGAAATGACTTAACAACTATACTCATATCGACAATTTGTTGATTTATTAATCAATTAAATTAACTTCCCAACTCTAGTGAGTTGTCAAACTGAAAAAAAAACTAGTATAATTGATATTAATAATTTATTTATTAGTATTTCAAACATAATATTTTATAAATATGTTGGTAAAACATAAAAATATGAATTAATTAATTAATTAGAGATTAAAGATAAGATAGCTCTCCCACCATCCTCACATCCTTGAGCTTGAATAGCTTTCAAACTCATCTTCTTAGAAGAAAAGAAAGTGTTTTTTCATGGCATCGTCACGCTTTGGAACTTGAAGATTGTTCACCCCTCCAGAAGCTGAGCTTGTTTTTGGTGATTACTATTAAGACAAGCCACGTGAACATGGTACTTTCCACATCTCGACATGTAGGACCATCCATTGTCACCGTGGGCGCCGCCATTAATGCTCTTATGGTTACACGACAAGCACTTCCCTCGAACTTTGTTGTGGAGATTGAAGTCCATGTCTCCGATTTTGTGCTGTTTGTTGAGGCTTATGCAGCAAGGGTGGAGGTCCAAGTCCTTATTCTGGCAGTGGTACACAAAGCCGCTGATGGGCTGCATGCAAGCGTCGCAAATCCTTTTGCAATTCAAATTCTTCGAATCCTTCGGTTGGCTTAGGAAGAATTTGAAGGTGGAATTGGGGAAGAATTCATGGGAAATTGGCGAGGTTTGTGGAAACATGCACTCTTTGTGAAGATAAAAATTGCATTCTGATTCTGGGCATTGGTATCGTGGCCCGCACCCTGTTTCATTGCATCCATTGCAAGTGTAAGCTTCTTGGGACTCCTCCAGCTCTAGTTCATGGGAATGGAACCTCATCGCCATTTCTTTCTATTGCCTAGCTTCAAGAGAAAAACAAAGATATAATAGAAAAGAGATTCATAATATAGTAAGAAATTAAAAATTAAGGAAGACAACAAACAAAGCATGTATGATTCAATTAATATTTTTAATAAATTGTATAATAAAATCGTGGTTGAGTGAGATAAATTAATGCACCATCAAATATTGTGAAATTAATTCTATTACATAAATGGTACGATTCTTACCATAAATGAGATAAATGAAAAATGTGCATCCATTAGGACTCTCCAGCACAATTTCTGACAACTTTAGGCCATTGGGTTCTTTTTATTAAATAGACATTTCACAAATATCTATATTAGTCATTTTTTTCTAGATATAACCATATTCCTATTCTTTTAAGATTATCTTCTTTCCAAATTACTCCTCCATTTTATAATGTTGATTTTATTTTCTTTGTTCCTTAATGGATTAATTTTTTTTTTTCCGACTGTGGATTAATTTTAAGATAAATTGGACAAACTACTTAGTTGTATCTATAGTTTTAAAAATCTAGCAATATTTCGACATATTGACCTGTGAATCCCTTCGATATAACTATTTGGTCCATATTTTATTTTGGTTTTTAAATATCTTGAATTTAAAAAGCCATAATTATCTAAACCCTGGATCTAGAAAATAATATTTAATTTTTATTCATCTTTTTATACACAAGACACAGTAGAGTAATATTTATAGAACAGTACTAAAGTAAAAATTAATTACCACTTATTCAAGAGTGATTTTTTTTTCCCAATATTTTGAGGCAACAGATTAGATTACGAACTTGAAAAAAAAAATGATTGAGTTGCGCCATACCTATGAAAGAGTATTTGATAGAAAATAACAACCTAAAGACTTGCATTAGTTTTGTAAAGGTTGAATTTGTAGTGTGGTGGAGCTTAATTGACTCTTTTGCTCCTAATAAAAGAGATCAATTTTGCATGGAAACCAGGATAAGGTACTTCGTTTAGGAAATTATCATAATTCAATTAAAATATAACTTTTCTAGGTAATTAAACATTTGAGGAAACAGATAAAATGGACAAAAGACGTAATTGGCTCATGCTCGGCAATAGTTTTTTTTTTTTTTCTTTTTTGTATCCATATTTAAAATCTCCTCTTGAGATGAATGAAATCAATGTGTAATTGGTAAATAAAAATATTACAATTATCCTAAAGATATAATTACAATAAACTAAATCACGTAGTAACCCTACTATTCTTCCTATTTGATTTTAAATAGCTAGAATCAATCTGCCCTCTCCCCTCACTCCTCACACAGCTGCTGATCTTCCTTCCCTTTGAATCCAAAATTTGTTCATCTGTTTTTGTGTTGGTTTTGAAAATGGAGAACAAGGAGGATGATATTGAAGAAATTCTGAAGAGAAGAAGGGCGGAAATTGAAAAAATGGAGATAGATAGCGAAGAAAAGGAACGTTTGTTGGTTAACTTGGGCGTGGCTAGAGCAGTGATTCAGGACTCGATGAGGTGGCACCATAGAGCTGAGGTGGCGGAAGCTGATCAGGAAAAGAAATCATAGGATCTCGTAAAATTATTTGAATTAAATAAATTAAAAGTCTTATCAATCATAAATATTTGTATTTATATCAATATTGTCTCACACTTCAAATGTGTGTTCTTTTTTTTTTTCTGGAAAATTCTACATGTTTATCAATATTTCCACTAAATTAGTACGAAATTTCTAGCGCAGAGGAACAATCCCACACCTATTCCATGCAAAAAAAATTGTTAATCACTTTGGAACAGTTTTCTATTGTCATCAACATATACAAGAAACATAAGAGTAACATCGTCACCCGAATAAATAAATAAAGATGAGTCAGCTTGAGAATTGAGGAAACCAACCGAGTAGATAGCTCTGAAGCTCATTATATACCAAGCACGAGGTGCCTGCTTAAAGTGATAGAGTGTCTTATTAAAACTTGGTGGTTGGGACATGAAAACATCCTCTCCAAGAGTCCATGAAGAAAATCATTGTTAACGTCAAGCTGCTGAAGTGACCAATTATTGTGCAACGCCAAATAAATAATTACGCAAACTGTATCTATCATGATAATCTAATCCAGCACCATAGGATTACAGGAGTTATTTGGAAAAGGTACCGAAATTAAAGGGGACGAAGAATTTTTATGAGGTGAGACACATAAATTGATAGGAGAGACACATAAGTTGTCCTTTAAGATTTACCTTCCACGTAAGAAAATAAAGTGTGTGGACATGACATCCTCACACCTTAGAACTGGAAAATATTTCAACTTCTCTAGAAGCAGAACTCGTTTTAATGACATATTGAGATAAGACGCGTGAACATGGTACTTTCTGCACCTCCACATGCAAGACCATCCATTATCGTCATGTCTACCTTTGTTGATGCTCTCATGGTTGCACCACAAGAACTTCCTTCAAACTTTGTTGTGGAGATTGAACAACATATCTCCGATTTTGCGTTCTTTGTTGAGGTCTAAGCAAGCAAGAATGGAGGTCCAAGTCCTTATTCTTGGACAAGACATGCCAGTGTCACAAATCCTTCCATGACAGGCCTTAATTTTGTGGGCTTATGAAGAATTTGAAGTTGGAATTGGGGAAGAATTGTGGGAAATAAAATGTTCTAATAACATATTCACATGTTTAAATATGCTAATTAAAAGTCAAACTAGGTAATGAAGGGAAGAAGTATCATTCGTGTACTAAAAAAATTCCCTTTTGTTATCCATTGTGAAATTTCATTCATTTTTGCCTCCAAGGTACGGTATTGATTCACAAAAAGAAAAAAAATGAAAAATATAAACTATAATTGATAACCTGTGAGAAAATTCAAAAAAGAAAAAGTCAACTTAAACTAGACCCAACAAGTATATATAATTTATTTTAGAGTATTATTTTCGGAAAGTTAGAGATAACTGTATTTAGCAAGCATGATTTTGATATACATGATGTTTAGATTAGTTATCGGGATTATGGTAATGTAACAAAAGTTAGAATACGTGTACACTTATGTTAAAGATCACGGTCAATCAATATGTAGTAAGTTAATTAGTTGTTTGATTATTATTATAATAGTTAATTAATATTTAGATATAAATTTAGAACATCTTTTCTGTAACTATTATTAAATTTAATAATTAAAAAGAGAATGTTTCTGTGACTATTCGTAAATTAAGCAAAACATTTTTTCTACAGCTAAGACCTTACACCTGCGATGGCGGTAAGGAGGGTTCTTTGGAGCGCGTATTAGCAGTGTTTACGTGGCGGTAAGGAAGGTTCTTTGGAGAGTGTATTAGCAGCGTATCAGTAGTGTTTACGTGGCCTCCTATTGGATTATATATATCTACACTTCATCTTCACAAAACTCATCTCTTCTTCCTGCTATCTCCACAAATCTCCTCTGCTCTCTCAAATCTCTTTCTTCTCTGCTCTTCCTTAATTCCCCTGCAACCCGAAATTGTTTTTTTTTCTTTGGCAGGTAACACACACAGAAATGGCAACTGGAGACCGTAATTCAAGCCACCCGGAGCATTTAATGGAGTCGAAGGAGTACAACAAACCATACACCTGCAATGGTTGTAAGGAACTTGGCTTTGGGTTTCGATACCGATGTGAAAAATGCGATTTTGATCTCCACCAACTGTGCATGTTTCCTGATACCTCACTATTTGCCCATGAATTCTTCCCCGGTTCCACCTTCGAGTTCCTCACAACTCCAACCAAACGGCGGCAGTGTGACGCTTGCGGAATGAACGTGAATGGCTTCGTCTACCACTGCAAGAAAGACGACCTGAACCTCCACCCCTGTTGCGGACACCTCAAGGAAAAACTCCATATCAAATTAGATGATGACAAAGACGAAGAAATGGTTCTCAATCTCAACAAGGAAATGCGAGGGAAGTGCACGTGGTGCAAGGACGACCATGGTAATGGATGGTCATACATGTCCGAGTGCGGGAAGCATCATATTCATGTGGCTTGTGTCACCCAAACTGTTTTAGAGAAATGGAAACGGAGGGAAGACAGCACCAAAGACCATGACAGCCGACAACTGCCCCATAACTAAACTCTCCTTGATTTTAGTTATCTTCCATGGAAAAAAAGCATTACTTCAAAAGGGGCAAAAAAACAAAAAAATAAAAACAAAAATGAATAAGAGAATCAATCTTCTTTAGGTGAAGGGCGGTACAGAGTTGGATGTAGGATGTAATAGATTTATTCCTATTTAAACTGATTTTAAACATTATATATATTGAAAGTCAAGAGGTCTATTAGGACATGGATTGTTAGCTTGGTAGTTAGATAAATTAGGAGATATACAGTTTTCTGTTGTGTACGTTAGATATATAGTTGTCTAACTTTGTTATCTTGCGTATATACACCTTTCTGAGCATGTAAATAAGATGAGAAATATCAGTTTTCTTCTCCATTTTTCCTTCTAATAAGTTCAAAATTATTGTAAAATCAGAGTTGGTTCTGGTTCTTGATACAAACTATTAAGGATAAACCAACCCCACAAATTAAATGACTTCATTGCATTATACTAAAGGACAGGACTTTGCAAACAAGAAGAGAAATCGTGAAATTGCTAGTGTTGAGAAATTTCATTTGAATTAATATGGCATTTGAATGGAGGAAAATACCTGAAACTTATTACCTTCAATTTGATTATATATTATATAGCCACGCCTGTCAGCTACCCCTCCTCAAAATCTTCTTCTGTTCTCTTCCTGCCATCTCAAATATGGTGTAGTACCTAAAAATTAAAATTATGCTTTTGTAAAATATGAACATTGTCCAACCAATTAAAAGAAGTCGTAATGAAAGTAGAATCGCCAGAGCAGAGCAACTGCACAAGACCATGGAACCCTAAATCGAAGAAAGCTGAAGAGAAATCACAATCAGATGGACATTGAGGTTTGATCTTGAAATAATTGAAATCGGAGTGGAGTTACCTGACCTCATCGTGCAGAACAGAAAATCAATCGAGGTTAAATTAAACTCCCATTGGCAGACCACCATCAACGGCGACAGCAGCGGCACTTTCAATTTCCGCCGGCGAAGGAGAGACGAGAGGTGGGAGCCAATAATTGAGTCGTTGAAATGCGTCTGAGAACTGAGAAGGGAGGGAAGGGTCGATTTTATGGGTTTTAATTTGTTCTAATACATGACTCAGATCACCTCCTTTTTTTTCTCTCTCTTTTTGATTTTTTACAAATAAAAGTAGTATTTCGTTCGTTCTTAGGGGCAGGGCAATTTCATTATTTTGTTTGAAATAAGAGAGTCGAAATTTCATTTGAGGCCATTAGAAATTGAATATGGATGTGATGGGGTAACCAAGTAGGTTGTGATGGAAGGATTTATCCAAAACTAGTTAATTAGCTCTAATAAATTATTACTTCCCATTAAGAAAAGTGGTTTGATAATAATCATTCTCGATATTTTTTTTTCCAATGAGGGTGGTTTGTCTTTTCTTGGTACAACAGGTAGGGTATGAGTTCAAATTCACAATTTGATATACTTTGGTTCAAAGTCATTTGTCTTTTTTTTTTTCTTCTCTCGGTAGATTCTTATCAAAAACTTCAATAATTCCTTTCGCATTATGCAATTCTCCGGTAGGAAAATCACAATGCCAAATAAATTTTACATAGTAGGAAACTAATTATGATAGGCCGATCAATAATCTTAAAAATAATTTCCACGGCTTATGAAATAAATTATTTATAAGAAATTATATGGTTTATAATACAATTTACATCACATAGATAGTAATCTAATGTGTAAAGTGGTGTCCACGCTAAGAATTGACATACTACATAAAAAAAGCAACCAAATGAAGAAAATAAAATAAAATCATAAAAGGAAAGATAACGAGATACGGAAGAGAGCGTTACTTCATAAAAGTTATATTACATACTTAATTTAAAAATATACTAAAAATAACTTTTTCTTTTAATAAAACGTGGTAATGTATAGAATGTTATGGAATTTGTCAAATCGATGATAGCTCAACATAGCTAATGGTATTGGAGTAACTTTTCCAATTTTGATAGCGGATTCTACATTTATTTATGTTAATTATTGTATTTAACCATTTATAAAATAGAATTAATTACACAATAATAATTAATGGTGCATTTATTTATGTGAACCATGATTTAGCATGAATTTATTATGAAAATATTTGATTAACTAAAAAAATCAAGCCATGCACGTATTAATTGAATTATTTCTATATCATGCTCTCTATTATATTCTTGTATGCTCCCCTCCAATCTTCTCAAATTAAATCTATTCTCTCATCTTCCTCCCCTGAGACCAAAAATAGTTCTTCTGTTGTTATTTTTGAAGGGCAACACAAAGAAATGACTACGGAGTTGTGTAATGTGAAACACTCGTATGATGATCAGATATGGTCCGAGGATTCTTACATTTGTTGTGGCTGCAAGGAAATAGGCTACGGGCGACGATTCAAATGCGAAAACTGTAACTTTATTCTACACGAAGCTTGCATGTTTCCACAAAAAACTTCCCACGAATTCTTCCCCAATTCGACCTTCGAATTCTTCAATACCCCACCAAATTCCCATAGAAGGACTTGCGAGGCTTGCACAATGCCCATCAACGGCTTTGTGTACCACTGCCAAAATCAAAACTTGAACCTCCACCCAAATTGTATGGAGCTCAAGAAACATTACAAAGTCAGAGACGACGACAACAAGGTTGTGTACTTTAACCTTGACAAGAAAGTCCGAGGGAAGTGCACGTGGTGCAAGAAGAAGAGCATCAATGCCAACGACCACGACAACAATGGGTGGTCCTACGAGTCAGAGTGTGGGAAGTACCATGCTCACGTAGCTTGTGTCCACCAAATGGTCGTACATCGCAAAAAGATGAATCACCACCAAGTAACACACTCTACTTCTATTTCTGAAAAAGGTGAATTTGAAAGCAATTCTGAAGGAGGTGACGCGGAAGAGGATATTTACTCACATTTATTCTCTAAGGGGCTGTTTAAGCGAAAGGGTTGGGCGTTGAAGTGAAGGATTTAATAACTTCATATTTATTATTTTATCAACATATGTTACAACATATTAGGTTTGAAACTTTAATAAATAAACATTAGCATCAACTATATACTAGTGTTTTGACAACATTTGAGTTTTCCGCACAAAATTATCGCCATAGCTCAATATGAAATTTGTCGATATTTTAGTCCTAACATGCAAAAGCTTAAGATAATGGATGGTCTTACATATCCAGATGTGGAAAGTACGTACCATGTTCACGTGTCTTGTCTCGATATGCCACTAAAACGAGCTCTGCTTCTAGAGAAAATGAAATATCTTCAAGCTCTAAGATGTGAGGATGTTATGTCCAAACACTTTTTTTTTTCTTATGTGGAAGGTGAATTTTATAGGGCAACTCAATGGGAGAAGAAGAGTGCACCGGGTATCTGACCTTTAATCTCTAATTAATTAATACATTCATTTTTAATATTATACCAACATACTTGTAAGATATTAGGTTTGAAATACTAATAAACCAAGTAACAACATCATTTATATTAGACTTATATTTTTAGTTCAACAATTAACAAGGATGGGAGTTAGATCGTGGTTAATTTAAATATTGATTAATGAATCAACTAAAATTATATAGTTTCGAAGGCATACCCATTTAAAAAATGGTAGGATTGAATATCCAACAAAAAACACATACGCACCAACTAAAATTAATTTATTCTACCAAAAAAAATAATAAATAATTGATGCCAAAATAACAATAGTTACATGTTGGTGTGATGCTGATGAAATTGTCTGTGCTGTGCGGTTCTTGCTATAGGATGTAAGATTGGGCTTCAAATTTGGGCTGGAAAGCCCAATTGAAATACAGCCTGGCTCGTTTCTTGGATGGACTTGCATATATAACCACCTAAGTATGTTTTTTCCGTTTTATTTTATTATTATTCCTTTTATTGGGTTTGGCATCTGCGTAATAGAAATAGCACCTACAATGATATTTTGATGAGAAAATAAGCAATGGAGTTTTATATTAAATCAAAGAAATTAACTACCTTAATATTTCATAATCAATCAATAATGGAGAAGGCTAATAATTTAGCAAGTATTTGGCAGTTCTCAAATGAAAACAATGAGTGTGAGGTTGTTTTGGAATATTTGTGTATATCAAATATAAGGGAAAAAGAAAAAAAAAGAGATATATACAAAGAGCCAATTAGTATTTATCAAGTTTCTGATAGACTAATTAACTTAATGTAATTAGTGATCGAAGATATTCAAAATTTTATAAATGACCAAGATAAAATAAAAAAGTAAATAAAGATGATAAATAGTATACAATGATTAATGATTTAGTAATTAGTAAGAGGGAATTTATTATTTATTTTAAAAGGTATAATGTTATATTATAAAATGATTTTGTGTTTAAAAGTGTCTAACTTATATTGTGCTGATAGACTTTGATCTATTAAAATTTTTTAAAATTAATAAACTATTCCAAAGGTCGGTGCCTTGTAACAGTGAGACCAAAACTTAAATATTATCGAACAAATTAGCTACCTTAATATTTTGATTGAACAACAAAAGTAAAGAAACAACGGCACCCCATAAATGAACAACAAAAGCATTTTTGCAGCATTAAGCCATTTCCATGATCTCAAAGAGACAATAATTAAGGTGAATCAGGATTTGGTGGGGCTGCATGTTCAACCAAACTTGAGCCATTTGCACAGTTGCAGGCAAGTAAAGGGCAGAATTTCTGAACCTTAATCCGAATTGGCAATCAGACTTGTTCTTGATATACAAAAAATTGTCATCTGTGAGTGGTTCAGAAACATGGAGAAAATATGAAACCAAGCAGAGGGAATCGGAAGTGAAATATTAAAAAACTGGTGAGAGAAGAATGAGAAATGGAGGATAAAATATACGTCTTCTCATTAATATGAAAGTCCAACTAATTAAGTATCACAAATTAGAAGAGTAATAATTTTTGTTAATATTGAAATAAAACTTGTTGTTCATATAGACAAGACACAGACGTATTAATATGGGAGAGAATGAACAGTATTCAGTATTCACATTTGAGCGTAAGAGTAAGACATTCAGAAATCAAAAAATTGCTCCAGAATTACTTCTGTGAAGACTCTTAAAAGGATCTTTAAGATCTCCTTCATCAATCTCTTCAATCGATCAACCCAGCCAGCTGCTGGAACTTGTTCTGCTTGCTCTTGCTCGGGGACAGAAATGGAGATCTCCAGGCTCCCCGCCGCCGCGTTGTTATCTGGATTCTCCGGCAGCTCTTCCTCGTTCAGAAGAAGGCTCGCTTCTTCCTCATCACGCCGGCTTGGTCACACACGGTGCCATGAAAGCGAGTCGGCGAACACTGCATTGGCTATACCTCGATTTATTTTACTTTCTAATTTGTTGCCTTCTTCTATCTCTACAGCCACCTCTTCAATTTCTTCAACCATTTCTACACTACTTCCTTCAACCTCCATCTGGCCAAGGAAGAGAGCAGAGACCAAGATGTTCTTTCTTCGATGCTTTCTTCGTTACACTTATGTGGGTGCCTGCTTGAACTGCTTATAACAGGTAAACAAAATTGAGCGTGGAGCGCGGTGCGGTAGCACCCTCCCACTTGATCTGACGTGGCATCCCCTGATACGGCTTTCCGCGACAAAAAAAAAAGAGCATCGGGCATTAATAGAATGCGACGTCGAATTTTATGTGACGAAAATGGGCAAAATGCAAATAAACCATACTTTGATTCATATTTACATTTTTAGACCCGCTTGGGTTGGGGTTGGGATGTAAGACTTTTCTTTTTCTTATTTTCTTTCTTTCCTCCTATTTTTGAGTAATATCTTTTTACGAAAGTACATTTGACAGAAAATAATGATTAAACACTTGTATTACTATTATACTTTTCCAAGGTTGAATTGTGCTGTGGTGAGGCATAATTGACTCTTTTGCCCCTAATAAAAGATTCATCAGAAACCAAGTATATGGGACTTCTTCCGTGTAAGCTCATAATTTAATTAAAAGATAGCTTTTCTAGAACCTTCGAGTATACACGTATAAATATTCTTTCCTACTATATATATTTCGAAATTAGGCAATTGATTAAAATTTCTTTAAAAAATTATTTAGTTGAAAAATAAAAAAAAATAAATAAAGGAGGAAAATTTTCCAGCGAGGAACCCCGCAATTGGCTAGAAAATAAAGTTTTCGTGTATGTATTTATATATACACAAAAATACGGAGAATATATTTCCCATCCCTATTCCCGTGCAGATTTTCTACTCCGTTTGAAGCTTTAGTGAGTAACGGAAGGCGTTGAGGCCTGAGGGGGAAAGTTAGAAGTTTTATTGGTTGGAAGTCAAAGTGCGAGGAAATTGAAAAGTAAAAAGATTCTCTTTTCTGCCCCTCCAATTCCCTTTTATTACTTTTAAAAGAATTAAAATAACAAAATAAAAATGTAACAGCTGTTCATGTCATTTTCCAATGAATAAACATAGAAGTTCGTATCGTCGTGTTTCTGGCATATCTCTGATTCATCCTCTTTGTTTGTCTACGGTTCCATTTATGTATTATTATTATTTACTAAAATCATAAAACAAAAAAAGAATTGACCAAAAGACTAGGGAACTTTCTAATTTTTAGTTTTGCTCTTGCAACCGCTCAGTTTCCATGTTCCATTCGTTCCTTTTCATGGCTCAAATTTCATTGCATACAAACATTTAACTTAAAAACCTCATTTTCTACTTGACATATATATATATATATATATAATCACGTCTTAGTCTTCCATCCAAGAAGTTATTCCATAAAGAGAAGTTGATACAATAAACATACAACACACTTGGTATTAATATCGCTTTATTTAATTTAGTTTTTCTTATATTGTATTTTTAGAAGAAAAATACGAACCAACGATGGTATACCAAAATCCAAAAGGTCCATCTTGTAGTTTATGCCTACTTTTTTTTTTATTTTGACCTTTCAGAATAGGTTATAAGCATTATCAAGTTAAATTGTACGTTGCAGGCACAGACATGACCGTATTTCAAATTATGAATAATCATTAAAAGAAACCACTATAAAAAAGGAGAGAGAGAGTATAATATTTGGTTTGTAGATGTTGTGGACTAGGGAGGCGCCAACGGGAAGGATTTTTTTCCCTTAATTAAAGAATCCTTATTTAAGAAGACAATAATAAAAATTAAAGGAAAAAATGCAGATTTTTTTGTTATTTAAGAAAACAATAATAAAAATTAAAGGAAAAAAAATCACAAATTGAGGGCAGCAAAATTCGATCCAAAATATACTTAATTTTGATTATATAGAGTATATTAATTAATTTAGATTATAAAAATTTTAAAATTATATATGAAAAAGAAAAAAAAAATGGCATCCTAAGGTATGGGAGCAAGTTTTATTTCATTTTGTGACGAAGGAAAATTTCGGCTCTGCAATTGAAAGAAGTAGAACCGAGAGGGCCTTCGAAGGATTACCAAAGCGAACCCAAGTTAGTTGGTCAGCCCAATAATCCACTGGTATTGAGCCCACAATCATCGGTCCAATTCAGGTTCACTTCTCACTTCTCACTTCTCACTTCTCACTTGCATGTCAGTTCTCCTTTCTCAACCACTCTCAATTATTGGCTCCCGCCGCCGTCGCCTTTCGCCGGCGGAAATGGAAAGTGCTGCACCAGTAGCCGTCGGCCATTAGTCGTTCCTTTGATGGTGGTCTGCTATGGGAATGGGAGTTTAATTTAACTTCAGCCTACTCGATTGATTTTGCAGTTTAACACGATGAGGTCAGGTAACTTCGATTCGCAATTATTGCAAGATTAGCCCCTAAATCTCATCTACGCCCTTCCCTAAATTACTGCTTCCGATTTCTCTTTCTATCTTTCTTTCTTCGATTTAGGGCTCTATGCTGACTTGACTTGTGTAATTTTGTACGGTTCGAATTAAAACCGAACCGAACCGAACCGCTTGTTCCTGGCTTGAGACGGTTGCTCCCAGCTTCTTTTCCCGGAAAATTCGGTAATTGGTAATTTGGTTGGATAATTTTCGTACTTTTATTAATTAAATTAGTTTTGGAAAACGACTTCAAATTTTCCATCTTGAAACAACACGAGACCTGTTTATCTCTATTTATATTTAAATTGTCAATAACCCAATAATAACAAAGTTATTCTTTGTCCATGGGCAGGTACACAATCAAACTTCAAAGTTCAAACTGAGTACCCCAACCGCCTGTGTACACTTGTACATCATGCTTTGGGGAATAAAAGAAAAGGAAAAAAACACAATTTGAAATTAAAAACAGAGGGAAAGAAAATGCAAAAGAGAAGTCGAAGAATTTTCAAGGCGGTGCAATGAGTTCCACAAACAGGGAGGCGAGAATGGTGGTGGGATCTCCAAGAACGATACTGACAATGGTCTTGATGAATACTTTGAAGATTCTCCAGAACTTGTTTCCACCATCCCCGCGCCCTCGAGCTCGAATTTCATTCAGATTCACATTCTCCAGAGCCAGTGGCTGGTCTTGGTCAGCAATGCAGTCTCCTCCACTCTTGTGCCATTCTTCTAAAGCCATTTGGGTGACACAAGCCACATGAACATGGTATTTCTCGCATGTAGAGATGTAGGACCACCCATTGTCGTTGCTACTCCCTTTGATGTTCTTCTTGTTGCACCACAAGCACTTTCCTCGGACTTTCTTGTGGAGATTGAACTCCACATCCTCGATTCGGTAACTTCTGTTCAGGTTTCGGCAGCAGGGGTGGAGATCTAAGTCGTCTTTCTCACAGTGGTACACAAATCCTGTGATGGGTTTTATGCAAGCGTCGCACATCCTTCTGCATTTGTCATGGCAGGCTCTTGGTGGGGTTCTGAAGAACTTAAAGATGGAACCCAAGAAAAATTCATGCGACGACGATGACATTTGTGGAAACATACAGGCCTGGTGAAGGTCGAAATCGCACTTCTCGCACCGGTAGCGAGGCCCAAAGCCTGTTTCCTTGCAGCCATCACAAGTATAAGGCTTCAGGTACTTCTTCATCTCCAGTTCATGATTCGGATGACTTGGATTGCGATACTCCATCGCCATTTCTTTGCGTTGCCTTCAAAAGAAAAGAAAAAACAAAAAGAACAATTTTGGATGCAGGGGAAGGGGAGAATGGAGAAGAGATTTGAGAAGATGTCTAGAAGAGCAGAGAAGATTTTGAGGAGAACGAGATTTTGGAAGCGAGGTGTGGCTATTATATTGGCCTTTATGCATTCAAACGCCCGTGGTCGCTGCAACCCAACGCCCACTAATTCTCAGGCAAGAGTCTGTCTTTCTTTCCCCGCAATCGGTGCAGTGTAATGACGTGGTTTATCCTTAATATTTTATTACTTCATTAACATTGTATTTGTCGCCACTTAAGTAAAGGTAATAACATTATAATTCCTTACCGCAACTTCGATGTATATAATGTTTAAAATTACATTAAATATATCTGTCAAAAAAGAAAATACATTAAATATGTATAAATCTGTTATTTCCTACATTCGACTGAAGTCTGTAACGCCATTCACCTAAAGAAGATCTCTTCTTTATTTATTTATTTATTTTCTCCCTCCCCTTTCTAAGTAATATTTTTTTTCAAGGAGTCTTCATGGTAATAATAAAACATTGCGTTTGCTTTGTATTTTCCCAATGTGCAAACGACACAATGGACTGAATTGTTGTGGTAATCTAATGACTCCGGAAGTTTAGGATTTTTTTTTTTGGAACAGGAAGTTTAGTATTTTTAATGGCTTTTTTTTTACCCTTCTGAGAGGTGTCAATTGAGGACGAGGAATTTCCTGTGGAAAAGCTATGTTTATGGGAATTGGATTTCTTGTATAATTCAATGAAATTCCTAAGATGATTTTTTCTCTCCCTTCCAATTTCCATGTTGTAATTTGAATTAATTAATAGAACAATAAATGTGAAATTCTTTCTGGGATATCTTTGCAGTCAGAGGCTTCTAGGTCTCTGACACTTGTCTTGGTTAACCTATTATATAAGCACCAATATGAATGTACACTGATTGGTTCAATTTGATTGCCTTACTAAAGAAATTATTTGGTTAAAATACTATTTTGGTCCATGTAGTTTCATGTGTTGTTTCCTTGTTTACAGGCTCTGAGACAGTAGAATCTCTCCTCTAATTGTTGTACACATGCTCTTACTAAGATTTTCTTTTTAATCTTAATCGAAATTTTTATAGGAGTGAGTGGCAGAACTGGAGTTTATATTTGTTCAAATTGATACAACAGAAATAATCAATGACTCCATAATATAATAACAAAGAATAACATTATTATTTATTCATTGGCAGGCACAAAATCAAACTTCAAACAAACTAGCAGAGTTCCCAGCCGCCTGTGTACACTGTACACCACGCTTTTGGAATAAAAGAAAAGAGAAACTACAATTCAGAATTAAAGACGTGAGAAATAAGTTTCTTCAAGGAGCAATCAGTTCGATAAATAGAGAGGCAAGAGTCATGGTGGGATCTCCAAGAACAATACTAACAATGGTCTGGATGAAGATCTTAAGGATTCTCCAGCACTTATTCCCTCTTCCTCCATGGCCATGCCCTCGAGCTCGAATTGCTTTCAGATTCATCTTCTCCAGAGCCCATTTTTGGTCATCGCCATATTTGATGCAGTCTTCTCTCTGTTTCCATTCTTCTAAAACCATTTGGGTCGCACAAGCCACGTGAATATGGTACTTCCTGCACTCAGAGATGTATGACCATCCGTTGCTATGGTCACCTTCTTTGATGCTCTTTCTCTTGCACCACATGCACTTCCCTCGCACTTTCTTGTCGAGATTGAAAACCATTTCTTCATCATCTTCTTTGACACGGTATTCCTTCTCGAGCTTTCGACAGCAAGGGTGAAGGTCTAAGTCATCTTCCTTGCAGTGGTAGACGAAGCCATTGATGTCCATTCTGCAAGCCTCGCACTGCAGTTTGCAATGGTCATGGCAGGCTTTTGGTGGGGTTCTTAGGAACTTGAAGGTTGAACCCGGGAAGAATTCATGGCGAAATGGCGAGGTTTGAGGAAACATGCACTCTCGGTGAAGATCGAAATCACATTTTTCGCATCGGTATCGAGGCCCGAATCCCCTTTCTTTACAGCCATCGCAGGTGTAAGGTTTCAGGTAGTTCTTCAACTCCAGTTTATGCTTCGGGTGGCTTGGATTATGGAATCCCATTGCCATTTCTTCTGTGTTACATTTGAAAGAAATAACACCAGAGAACAATTTTGGGTTGCAGGGGAACTAAATAAGAGCAGAGAGGAGAAAGGATTTGGCAGGAAGAACAGAGAAGAGATTTATGAAAATGGCAGAAGAGATTGTGAGAAGAGGCAAATGCAAAGTGTGCTATATATAATCGAATTGGAGGCAAGAAGGTTGAGGTATTTACCTCTTTTATGCATTTAAATTCCATATGAATTCGAATGAAATTTCTAAACACTAGCAATTTCACGCGGTAGATTTCTCTACTCCTTTGCTAAGCTTTTGTAATGTAATGACGTTTGTTTCATTTGTGTGGCTGGTTTATTCTTAATATTTAATTAATTAGTTCATTTACATTTTGTATTTTGTCGCCACTTATATATAAGGAGGATTTAAAAATTTTAATCATCTCAAATATGAACGAACGAAGTATAGAAGAACCCAAACTTATTTTACAAGTACATTGACTTTTTGACTTTATATATATGCATATATTTGAAGGTAACTTAATTGAGTTTAAGGAGAAAGGGCAAAGCAGCTTCTCTTATTTTTTCATGGAAGGCTAGGAGTTTAATAATTAAAGATGTTGCATTTGCTTTGTACTTTCCTATTGAATTGTTCTGGAAATCTTATGAAATTACTTCCTCAAGTCATGGAGATGGATCTTTATTGACTTTTTTGCCCCTCTTAAGAGATGAAATTGCATGGGGAACTAGGACTGACTACAAGGAACTTCCTGGGGAAAATGAGGTGGGATTTCTTTTCCTGTATAATTCAATTGAAATTCCGAGTATTGAAGACGAAGACTCCAAGTTATGTGTGAGAAGGTGATCTTGTCTTTCCCTTTTAATTATCGTTTTATGATTTCAAATATAAATGAGTTTAAGTTTTGTTTCTCATTCTTGGTTCTGGGTACTCTTATTCTGTAGAAGTAGAAATAATAATAGGGTCACTTTCCCAGCTGGTTCTTTCATTTGACTGCATAAATGAATCTGTAAGTGTTCAAATTTTGATTAAATTCTGTCTTTCTCAAATCCTTCTTCCTTTCTTAGCAAACCGAAATTGGTTCGGTCCTAGCGCTTTTCTCCTCTCTATTCGGTCAGTTCGATTTAGTTGGATTTAATTTCTCGGTTGTCAGTTTGGATGGAAAACTGACCCGATCCGAACCAAACCGCCTCCACTCCTACCTCTTTTCTTGGATAAATCAGAAATTATTTCAAAATTTTCATCTTGGAAAGCTTGCTTCTCTCTGTTTATGTTAAATTTGATAAGACAAGAAAAATCATCAGCAATCCAATAATATTAAAGAAAGAACATTGTTATTACAACATTTCTACACATAACTTGTCACTCAAAAATTTTACAGCTATTTCTCTGTATGAGAAATGGAAAAATATCTCTTTCTATGCCGTCTTCACTCTAGTAAAAGAACGATGGAATAACAAAAGGGTCTTTCAGGGTGCAATCAATTCCACAAACACAGAAGCCAGAACCATGGTGGGATCTCCAATAACAATACTAACAATGGTCTTGATGAAAACCTTAAGAATTCTCTTGAACTTGTTTCCTCTTCCCTCGGGGCCATGTCCTCGAACCTGAATTGCTTTCAGATTCTTCACCTTTTGTAGAGCTATAGTTGGGTTGCTGCTGTCTTTGGTGCAGGCTTTTCTCTGTTTCCATTCTTCCAAAATCATTTCGGTGACACAAGCCACGTGAACATGATACTTTCCACACTTGGAGATGTATGACCACCCATTGCTTTTCTCTCCATCTTTGATGCTCTTTTTTTGACACCACATACAATTCCCTTGGACTTCCTTGTGGAGATTGAAAACCATTTCTCCTTCTTCTTCTTTGATGTGATATTTCTTTTTCAGTTTTCGGCAACAGGGGTGGAGGTCCAAGTCGTCTTTCTCGCAGTGGTAGACAAATCCGTTGATGTCCTTTCTGCAAGCGTCGCACTGCAGTTTGCAGTGGTCATGGCAGGCTTTTGGTGGGGTTCTCAGGAACTTGAAGGTCGAACCCGGGAAGAATTCATGCTGAAATGGTGAGGTTTGTGGAAACATGCACTCTCGGTGAAGATCGAAATCACATTTTTCGCATCGGTATCGAGGCCCGGAGCCCCTTTCCTTACAGCCATTGCAGGTGTAAGGTTTCAGGTAGTTCTTCAGCTCCAGTTTATGCTTTGGGTGGCTTGGATTACGAAACCCTGTAGCCATTTCTCTGTGTGGCCTTAAAAGAAGACAAGGAAAACAAAGAATAGATTTTGAGAAGATTGCAGTACAGGAATAGCAGTGAAGAGATTTTGAGGAGTGGCAGATGAGAGATGCGGCTATTTATATGACCAAATAGGAAGGAAATAAGTTTCAGGTATTCCTCTTTATGCATTCCAATGCCATATGAATTGGGACGAAATTTCTATTTTATGTGTTACTGTTAATCACGCGTTGGACTACTTTTCTCAATGACTTATTGTTCTTGTTATGTAATGTTTAATTAGTTCATTAACATTTGTATTTTGTCGCCACTTATATAAGAAGGATAAAAATGTATGTATCGAACCCAAGCTAATTTTACAATTACCTTTTTAATTTAAAAATATATAAAAGGTTAAATATACCAAATAATCTCTAATATTTAATGATTTTTCAATTTGATCCTTGTTCTTTTTAAAATTTTCAATTCCTACCTTCAATGTATTAAAAGTTCAATTAGTTCTTTACCTAACCTTTTTTTTTATTGTTTTATTAATGATACATGGACATGCTACTTAAAAAAAAAATGAAAATTTTAAATTTAGATTTTTTTTACAAGATCAAATTGAGAATTGAGTAAAAGAATAAGATAACGAGACAAAAGATTGCATTTGCTTGGTACTTTCTCCGATGTGATATCAAACTACAGAGTCAATTGAATCGTTGCGGTAATGTAATGATATCCTTAAGTCTCAAACTTGATTGACTTGTCCCCACCAAGAGGAACCGACCAATGGCTTCCTGTGGAAAAGTTATAGGATGGGATTTGTTGTGTGATTCAATTGAAATTCCTAATGTTAAGAGTTAGAGACCAAGACCAAGATTCAAAGTCATGTGAGAGCAAAGGAAGGTGATATTTTGTTTCCCATTTATTATTTCTTAGTTAATTATAATAACAACAAAAATGTAACAGTTTGTCTTATACCTTTACCAACAAGTTTCTTGCATGTCATTTTCCAAGAAACACACAAAGTTTGAAATGTGATGTTTCTGGGACATCTTTGAGGGGAAGTTTAGAAGCTTCTAGGTCTGACTCTCTTATAAGCACCAATTTCTAGGTAAATAGGTAGTTTTTCTTTTCTTTCTTTCTTTTTTTTTTTTAAAAAAAAAGAAATTGAAGGGAGAAATTTCACTGCTGGTCAATCATTTCAATTTTCTCCCAACTAGGTTTATAAGTTGTATACATGTCACTTGCATTCTCACATTCAGTAATCAAGTAAGCTTGAATACGGTAAATATCGTTCCACGGTTGTTTTCAAATCTGGGGTTTCTTTTGTTCCCATTTAAGAAAAAAAAAAACATTTAGTATACGTAAAACAAGATGTCACATTTGAATCAACGTGATCAAAGAGGTAGGAAAGAACCTGTCTAGAACCGTGCTAACTCGGCTCCTATGATGCAGAGTTTCGCTCCTCCCCTTCCATGCCAAGATGGAGAGAAAAACTGAGTCCTGAGTATAACATGATCTTGATTCAGAAAGACTAACTTTAAGGTAATTAAATATGTTCAGAAAAATGGATTCTAATGTGGAGGTCATATCTCAATCTCATCTGCAAATCCACAAGACTTTTTGATCCTGCCCGCTCAGTTTCCATGTTTGCTTCATTCCTTTTGTGGCTCAAATTTCATTGCAACACAAACATTAAGTTTAAAAACACCCATTTTCTACTTAACAAAAAGAACTTGATCACCTCTTAGTCTTCCATCCAAGAAAGTTATTCCATCAAAAGAAAAGCTCAGACTATGAACATACACAACCCACTTGATTTTGCAAGAGACTGTCATCAGGCCCTTCACGTTCATCAAGAAAACAAAATGCCCAAGTTTACCTCATATTTCTAATCAATCTAACAACCAAAACATTCAAATTCTCCATCCACCAGAGAACAGTAGATATACGTATTAAGTGCAGAAGAGAAGGTGGAGAGAATGATCTTGCAAAGTATTAGCAGGCAACTCCATACATGATTCAATCTATTCGCTAGAAGGAAAATTCTAGTTTAAATGATTTTTTATTTCTCCCGTTTATTTTCATTGGCTATAAGGAAAATTTCCCACTTTCCAACTCAAAGAAATAGAATAGAAAGACCCTTTAAAGGTATCATCAAGCCACTTCACTCCCTAAATCAATCTATGTGCTTCACTTTCCACTTGAACGAATCTATTATTCTAGTGAACATGGTCCAAATCTGTAATGGAAAGTAACAATTTCCAAGCACTAATTCCAAGCTTTTTCAGTAAGTTCTTCCATCACAAGTTACTTGGTTATCATATTCAATTGATAATGCCCTCAAATGAATGACCAACTGAAATGAAACTAAATTAATCATTTATATTATTTGTTACACAATTTTGCTGAAAAAGACCTTTGAGTAGTTTATTTAAATATTCTAAAAACTTAACAAATTCATCGAACTTGGAGTAAGAGTATAAGGTGCTCATAGTGAACTATCACCTATTTTGGGGGAGGGGAAACAAAAAACTTCTCATTCATGTACGAAAAGTACAGAAAGGGCATGTCAAACCCTTGGCTGTAAGAGAAGATTACAAAAAAACTACTGCATTTGACATTAATATAAAGAGAATTATAATAACAGAAGAGAGAATGTATCCTTTATAACTGGTGAATTTTATAACACTAAAAGCTCTCGAGATGAATCTTTAAAGGTGCTTTTGTTCCTCTCCCAATAATAGAGAACTTTCACGTCAAAGCAGGTGAAAAACAACATTTGTATCTTGAAAGAAATAAACTAAATTATAGGCTAAAAGTTATAAACTAATTAATTTTTAATCAGGATCTTTCTTGTTGGTTGTTTGAACACTCTCCACTGGATGCAGGGTCTACAAAGACATTAAAAAAGAAAAAAGTTAGAAACTCAGAGACCATTCTGGATAGAGGACTTTTCAGTGAAACAAGAGAAATTGATGATCAGCTAAAATCTACAAAAGTTAGTTTGTGACAATTGAAGAAATACGATAGCAAAAATGTAGGAACATAACAAATTTAAAAACTTTTTATAAAAATTTAATAAAAGAGAAACAAGAAACAGAAAATGGCTTGGTGATCCTCAGATATATTCGGAAAAAAAAAAAAAAAAAACAAGAAGCTGAAATTGATATCTGATTTCAAGAACATAGCAAGACAGTTATTCTGAATTAATTGATCAAAAACAGAAAACGACATGCTCCTACTCAAATAAGATGACAAGAGGCATAAACTACAAGTTTAACATTTCATCGAACAGGTTACAGGCATGGTCAAGTTAAATTGCAGTGGGCAAACATACGACGGCATCTCTGAAAAAGTTAAGAAGCTGATATTGATATCTGATTTCAAGAACATAGCTAACCAATTGTTCCGAACTCCATTGATCAGGCTTATGGTCAAATAAGAACATAGGCATAAACTACAATGTAGACATTTCATCGAACAGGTTACGGGCATTATCAAACTATATTACACTCGGCAATCGGCACACACATGACTGTATACAGATACACACATATAACAACATTGAGAGAGAGAGAGAGAGTACAAGATTTGGTTTGTAGATGTTGTGGACGATGGAGGCGCCGGCGAGAAGGGAAGTGATGACGACTACAAAGGACCAACCCAGTGATGGAGTTCCAACGGGGCTTCTCCCACCCCCGAATTTCTGAGCCATGGTTTCAGCTCAACGACCACCCAGACTTTCAGTTTTGGCTACAATTATTACAGACCAAGGCAACTCTAATACGCTGAAGATGGTTCCATAATTCCATCTACCCGCCCACCGCCCTTTAAATATTCTCTCCGGGGATCCCTCAGTCGGATTTTATGTATAATCTAGGATTAAATAATAATAACAAAACTAAACATATATTTATATTTTAGTGTCCATTACCACTGCGGTTAAGTTCATATTTTTTAATTTATTTTAAAATTTTCAATTTAGTTATTTCTATTTTAACAATTTTTAATTACAATTTTTTAGAAAACAAGGGTGAACTTACCTGATCTATTAATTTATATTTATGCTCACAAGTAGTCACACAACTTTAATGATATTATTAATTTAAGCATAGTTCAAATATCTATCTCCGACTAAAAGATCGTGAATTTGATTTTCCATCCACACATGATGTACTCGGGAAAAAAACGTTAATGACATCTGATTAACTGTGCATATGTATCTATACACTCAATTCGTGCCTTTACTTCGATTCGAATTCTACGATTTCCCATTGCATCTAAGATAGGTAAAAAAGAAAAATTAATGTGTCGTTGCGATTCCATTGTTTCAATCTTAACTATTTATAGTTTTCAAAATCATCTTGTTCGTATATTGAGTTGAAACTCTTTGAGTATTGTGTCTTAACTATGCCAAAACATATTTAAAACACGAGTCTTTGTAGCGTACTAACACATCACGAGTTTACCATGCTAGCTCATCATAAAATAAGATTGCCTTCCTTTGTTGCATTTATCAATAACCATCTCCAAATCTCATATATTGAGTCAAATATTGTCCCAAACATTCATCCATCCACGGGCTATCTTGGTATAGAAATATCTACATACATCCATGATCTATATTGATTATTGATCCACTTTCTCATACCCTATCATACAAGTACAACTTATTTCCAATTATGGGAAGGAGTGTAGCATTAATATACCCGTGACATCTTATACTATCTTCAATGTTTCATTCATGATGTTATCCAAAACAAAAGAAAATTCATCCATGATCGTAATTATCCCAAATTCCCTCACTATTTAACACCCCAAATTCACTTCCCAAGACTCACCATAATTTACACGGGGTTGCTTTTTGATACCCATGGTCTCAGATTTTTCAGTGTTATTCTCCTCATCTTGACCCTGCAATTAAGAATTTGGGTTCACGTTCATTCCAATAAATTTATTCGGTTGGCTGTCGGCCTCCAGCCTCGCCGATGTGTCGGATTGTAATTCAGAGATGATTAGGGACACGGTTTATCAGTCATCGGAATTAGCTCTCCTACCCCAACTGCACCCCATTTAATAGACTTACTTCCCAACCTCCCACTTCAAAACCCAGAAACTCTACCATTTTTCTTTTTAAAATCCATTTGCGGATCTCATTCTATTGCCATTCCTGGTTCTGGGTCTTCATTTTCTGCTCGTTTTAGGATCTGGGCAGAATTAATAGGGTTACTTCACCTACTGGTTCTCGGATTTGGCTGCAAAAATGAAGGTCTCAGTAGTTTCTCGCAGTGGAAGGGAGGTTGTTAAGGGCGGCATTCAACTAAGCGATTCTGTAAGTTTTTGAGATTTTGATTGAATTACTGTTTATGTTTCTTTATCACTTCCCTTTTCGATTCTTGGAAAAGAAGAAAGGATGAAAAGAGTACAGCTTGTCCTGGTGGCTGTGTTCAGTTAATTGACCTATCAATTTTGCTTCTTACGAATGAGTAGAAGATGGGATTTTCAGTTTCATGGAAGTTGTCGTCTTTTTTTGCAGGCTTCGGTGGCCGATCTGCAGGAAGCGATTTATAAGCGAAGTGAGTGATAGATAGTAGAATGTTTCCTTTAATTGTTGCACACATGTTCTTATTAGCTTACATTTTTTGGATTGCTTAGCTCAGATTGGTCATGTTTATAGGAGGTGAGTGACAGTACTGGAGTTCGCAGATGTTATGCTACGATATCTACTTGTGGTTTATTCGATTTTCGTAGTTGTTAAAAGAAAGAATCCAAAAGATTAAATTTGGCGTTCCCTAATATGATAAGCTTTTGGGTATAGAATTGCTGCGGAATCGAAATTTTGTTAACTAGTTCATAGATAGTAAGGTATTTCAAATAGTCTCATGCTTCCAGAAAATTAGTCTTTATCTACTTCTAGACGTAACTAAAGATGAGGATTGATCTTCAGGTATATCATATATGCTGACTTTTTTCTGATTTTTTCTGACTATATGGTTATCGTTCTTGATTATGTTGTATAGAGTTTTCATTTATCTCGTCCTACTGTGGGAAAAGAATGAAATGATTTCACTATATCTGGTTAGTTTCTTTTTGTTCTTGGATGGGGTGGGGGAGGAGGTGTAAAATTAATTTCTGGGGTTCAATATGATTGCTAATGCACCTCAATAGCTTTAAAATAGATATTTGTATCAGTGTAGTTGTGGTGTAAAAAACCATGCTTTAAAACATAAAGTACCTGACCAGAACGTTCAGTTTGGACTTCTGTCACAATATTTTCATAGTTTAAAGCCCTTTCCACTATGCCTCACTAAATTTGGAAGGATGAGGTAACAAAACCTAGTTTCTAACAGAGGTGAAATAGATTTCCTTTAACTTCAATATGAATTCTATCAAGAAGAAACGAAAAGAAATTGAAAATAAAGGAGTTGTGTCTATACTATAGTTCATCTTATAATGAACTGTTTGATGCTTTTGATGTCAGTTCTTAAGTAAAGTTTAGCTACCTGATTTCCATGTTTTATTGAAACAGCAAAAAAGTTCTACCCTGCCAGGCAACGGTTAACTCTTCCCCTTCAACCGGGTTCGAAGGAGAGGCCTACTGTTCTTAACTACAAGAAAAGCCTCAGAGAATATTGTAGCGACAACTCGGACAACATAACTGTCGTCTTCAAGGACTTGGGCACGCAAGTTTCATATCGTACACTCTTCTTTTGGGAATACTTGGGTCCCTTGATCCTCTACCCCATCTTTTACTACTTCCCTGTATATCAGTTCTTTGGCTACAAGGCAGAACGTGTCATCCATCCAGTTCAGACGTATGCAATGTGCTACTGGTGTTTTCACTATTTCAAACGAATCTTGGAAACATTTTTCGTGCATCGGTTCAGCCACGCGACCTCACCACTTTCAAACGTGTTTCGGAACTGTGCTTACTACTGGACCTTTGGCGCGTATATTGCGTATTATGTTAATCATCCACTTTATACCCCTGTTAGTGAGCTTCAAATGAAGATTGGGTTCGCATTTGGTTTGCTGTGTCAAGTGTCAAACTTGTACTGTCATATCTTGCTGAGAAAATTGCGCAACCCTGAAGGCAGTGGGGGATATCAAATCCCAAAGGGGTTTCTGTTCAACATCGTGACATGTGCAAATTACACAACTGAAATATATCAGTGGGTAGGTTTCAACATAGCTACACAGACTGTTGCTGGTTACATCTTCCTTGTGGTTGCTACTCTTATCATGACAAACTGGGCTCTTGCGAAGCACCGTCGCCTCAAGAAGGTATCATCTAACTTCAACAGTTTAAGCTTTTAGGTTTATTAGTAATTCAACCATTTTTATTCAGATCACCTCTAAGTTGTAGATTAGAGTATATTACTAACAAGTAGATAGGAAAATGATACATGTTTTGAACTAAACACCTCTTACTTTGATACTATAAAATCAATACTAGACCCAAAGATTTAAAAGGATGGTCCATACGGTTTGGCATACTCCGTGTTTTAACGATTCCCTTGGACTACAACTTGTCTCGACTCTTGAGTCTTGACAACTCGAGATTCCTATCACATTTTTCGGTTTTGTGATTTTGTTATTTTGGAAGATATTTGGCAGATTGCTTGGCATTTGTGTAGTGATTTTGGGTGTCATTTGGACATGGTTTTTCATGTGCAGCTGTTTGATGGGAAGGAGGGAAGGCCAAAGTATCCACGCAGATGGGTGATACTTCCTCCACTTTTGTAGAAGGATTGGGGACGGCCTCACCATCCATCCAATCCATCCAAGTTGGTAGCTTTTTAGTTTACTGTGTCCCTTGAAAGACACCACACAGACACCATTTTTCCAATGCCAATTTATGTTCTTTAATGTTGTTGTCTTCTCTTAACAGTTTGGACAATGGTCCTTTTTTTTGTCTTGTTTTGTTGTCTAGTGTATTGTTGGCGACTGATGGTTGTATTGTATGTTTTCTTCTAATAGCCTTAAGAACATCTTTTTTAGCTTCAAAATAATGGAAAAGTTAAGATTTTTAAAATATAATACATAATACGTCGGATGGAATTTGACTCTATGACATCTTGGTTAGATATAGGTGTCTTGATTAATTGAGTTAAGCTCTTTCACATGTTATACTATTTTAACGGTGTGAACCATATATAAATTTATAGTTTAACATTTTTTTATATCTTAAAATTGGAAAATCTAAAATAGTATTTAATTTTGGTTAAAATACTATTTTTATATTTTAAAATATTCGTTTTGGTCCTTATATTTTTAAAAAGTGATGTTTTGGTCCCTAGTTTCAAAATTTTCACATGAATTCTATACATAATTGGAACTCTTAATATAAAATCATGGTTATATATCAAGAAATATATTGAATGCAGTGTCTCTTTATAAAAGTACAAGATCAAAACGAATATTTTGACAATATAAAGACTAGTATAGAGAATAATATAAATCAAAAGTAAAAATATATGGATCAAAGTAAACATGTTAAAAGTACAAGACCGCACTAGTATTTTAACTCTAATTTGTTTACTTGTATTAGGAATAAATGAAAGTAGACATAGGATTGAGTACGGGGATGAAAATGAGTGGGGCAAGAAAGAAATGGGAGTGCAAAACTTGTACGATCCTAGCTTAATAGTAAATAACATCTACTTCGTCTGAGACGCTAAAACTCTGGTGGCTGCAATTTACTGTACTAAGAAAAAAGGAAAGAAATGGGAGGGCAACACAGTAAAAAAGCGTATGCATGGAGAAGAAATAACGACCCCATGAATTAAGAAGGGAAGGCGAGGCCAAGGAAACCGGCATCCCTCTCGCAGATCCACATTAACATGAAACTGAACGTCTTTCTCTACTCAGACGATCGAAATTGAATCCAATTGTCATCTCTATATTCCCCCATTTCCATTTCTCCCTTTGGAAGCCTCTCTCCTCGGTCCCTCTCTGTTTCTCCCGCTGCTCACCTTCAATTTCAAAGGTTAAACGCTTCATTCTTCTTGTTTGCTCTTACCCTTTTCGTATTGGTATTTTTCTCAGCTGCTTTCTACTTTTCATTTTGATCCATCATGTTTTTCTCTGGATTCTTGTTCTTTCTTTCTGTGGAGAAATTATTACATTGGCATTCTACACTTGTTAAACCTATATTAGGTTAGGAGGAAGCTGTTTTTTTTTTTTTTTTAATTTCAATTGAGTGCATCAGCATGTTAGAATTAGGCTGATATCTAATTCTCAATTTCATTGCTAAGAAATCTAAAAATTGAACAACATATTATGGGGCATTTGTATTGTAAAAGTGCTCTGAGGCGTGGGCCATTACAAAATAGAAATTGTATTATTGCCTAAGCTGGTCTTTGGACAATTGACTCATTTGCAACTTCTGTAGCAGGTATAAAAGATGGCAGATACAGAGGACATTCAGCCTCTCGTATGTGATAATGGAACAGGAATGGTTAAGGTATAAATAAAGAAAGTCACGTTTTCTGGTATATAGCTGCTATAGCCTTTTGTGTATGGTATGGCTAATACTTTTTGTTTGTTGCATTGGTTTCATTAGGCTGGATTTGCTGGGGATGATGCTCCCCGAGCAGTCTTCCCTAGCATTGTTGGCCGTCCTCGTCACACCGGTGTGATGGTCGGCATGGGCCAGAAAGATGCTTATGTTGGTGATGAGGCTCAATCTAAGCGTGGTATTTTGACACTAAAATACCCAATTGAGCATGGTATTGTGAGCAACTGGGATGACATGGAAAAAATCTGGCATCACACGTTCTATAACGAGCTTCGTGTTGCGCCAGAGGAGCACCCTGTACTCCTAACTGAGGCTCCTCTTAACCCCAAGGCTAACCGTGAAAAGATGACCCAAATCATGTTTGAGACCTTCAACACTCCTGCCATGTATGTGGCTATTCAAGCTGTTCTCTCACTATATGCCAGTGGTCGAACAACTGGTAAGGCCTCGTTATATCGTTTAAATCGCCTATGCTTCGGTTTGATTGTGCCCTGATGTTCTTAGGCTAATGGAGTGGGATGATAGCATAGCACATTGTTTCTCAAAGAATTTCTTTTTCTATTTTGTAGGAATTGTGTTGGACTCTGGGGATGGTGTGAGCCATACAGTCCCCATATATGAGGGTTATGCTCTCCCACATGCCATTCTTCGACTTGACCTTGCTGGCCGTGATCTTACTGATAACTTGATGAAAATTCTGACGGAGCGTGGATATTCGTTCACTACCTCAGCAGAGCGTGAAATTGTGAGGGATATGAAGGAAAAGCTTTCATATATTGCCCTTGACTATGAGCAGGAACTCGAAACTTCCAAAACCAGCTCCTCAGTTGAAAAGAGCTATGAGTTGCCTGATGGGCAAGTCATCACCATTGGCTCTGAGCGTTTTAGATGCCCGGAAGTGCTTTTCCAGCCATCCATGATCGGAATGGAAGCAGCAGGCATTCATGAAACCACATATAATTCTATCATGAAGTGCGACGTTGATATCAGGAAGGATCTGTATGGCAACATTGTACTTTCTGGTGGTTCGACCATGTTTACAGGCATCGCTGATAGAATGAGCAAGGAAATCTCCGCACTCGCTCCGAGCAGCATGAAGATTAAGGTGGTGGCACCTCCAGAGAGAAAATACAGTGTCTGGATTGGTGGTTCTATCTTGGCCTCTTTGAGTACCTTCCAGCAGGTTTATATCAAACAATTTCAATTCCGCACTCAGATTTTTTGAAATGCATTCAGCTTTGCTTCCTTCCCCTTATGTTCTACTTGTTTTTGCTGCAGATGTGGATTGCAAAGGCAGAGTATGATGAATCTGGGCCATCGATTGTGCACAGGAAATGCTTCTAAATGACAAGAAACAGAACGGCTAAGACGTGGGAGTACTGTTTTATGTCTCGGAATGAAAGGCTACAGCCTTTTTCGTTCTGGCTTTATTATCCTTCTTTATCGTTCTAATGTTTAAGTAATTGATTTCAAGAAGGTATTGGAGTTGGTTTCCGAGACAACACCATTCTTTTATTAATATTTGTGTCATCGCCTTCTGCTCTAATCAAAATTGTTCTCGTAATCATCGTTATTTAAAACTCAAAAACTTAAATGAGATGACTATTCTAACATCAATTTAAACATAATTCAATTGGTTAGAACATGTATCATCGACTACAAGATCAACATTTGAATCTCTACCTCTACTTGTTATTGAACTAAAAAAAAAGTCATCATTGATGCGAAGAACTACATCAATTACCTAGTGCTAGACAATGTTTAAATCTCCCCGTACACCATTAGTTACTAAATGAGTATGGTGCTGAACTGGGCTTAGGGTAACATGTGAACATGAACTTGGTTGCACCACGATCACTTGTATTACTTGCCCTAAATACGATCAAGCGTTTTAGATGCCCGGAAGTTCAGTTTCAAAGATGTCATCCCAAAATAGAAAAATTTAGCCACAGGCTTCAAACCAAATGCTTCTAAGATGATGCTAAATTTGAAAAACAATTAGAAAGAATAATCACATTAGTGATCTGAACAAAATTTTATGGACTTATTCTTAAGGGTAATCGCTGGTTCAAAATCTGTTCAGCTCTAAGTTTTGCACACCACGAACTATTGTGGGTGTGACATGTACCGTATGGTGAACTGATCAGCTTCCCTTGCTTGTCTAAGAAAGAAATTCAGTCGGAAGTTCAGATTGAAATTCTCCAAATTCCAGTTCTGTATCCGACAGTCATGAGTGCGAGCTCCCAAAGCATGTTTAAAATGCTCCAAGGACCTAGCTTGGATCCGGGTATTTCAGACCAGTTCACAGATACTTCAAGCATTGGAATGCCAAAATATTTGCAGAGGTAAACCAACTCAACATCAAAGCACCACCTGAAAAGGAAGTTTCAGTATTGCTAAGCCGTTCGATTCTGGTTGCAAAGGAAGTTTCAGTATTTCATGGAAGCACAAGCACAACATTGCTGAAAAGGAGTCACCGACAATTGGCAGGACTAAGAAAGAGAATGGGAAAACAAAATAAGCCAACAAAGTTTTCGTGTTGTGGTTTTGCTCTCAGCTTGGATCCAATAAATTCCACAATTTCGTACTTACTGATTTAGCATACTATTTCTGGTGTGGTCATGGTCGCATGCATGTAAAAGAGAGCGGGATCTACTCCGTATGTCATGATGGTTTAAATTAGACCTAGTCGTGCTTATAACTTTCAAGAGATATGTTGGGGAGGGATCTTACCTCTTCAAACGGATGTTGGTGAAAAGCTTCCTTGCAGCAGATCTCGTGAACATCTTAAAACCACACTGCATATGATCACGGTGATAGAAAGCAAGTATTAAAAAAATGAAGTTTAGCAGCTTCAGGCAGAAGTTAGTATAAAGCAACTATATCTGTATTACTGCACAGCATAAGCACAGAGATAATATCACATACACGTGAAGGAGCATGTTCACGCAAACTAAAAAGGGAATCACCTGTGTATCCCGTATTCCAGGACCAGCTGTCAGAAGAACCACGAGATGAAATCCCTTCATCAAGAAATTGCGGTACCACTTCCTCTGAAAAGTAAGAGGATCTATCAAATGAAAAAAAAAGTTCAACTTCAAACAAGTAACCGAGATAACTGCATGAGCAACACTAAACTGTAGCCAGAGCCTTCTCCTCAAGATGGGCGCGAGAACCAAATGCAGTGATTGGAACATCAGATATTCTAACACTTGAATCTCTTGAAGCTTCCTTCTTTACTTCTGCGTGAATCTGGGGGAGAAAAATTAAGTCTTGAGTAACTAGTCCACATTTTTAAAATTTGGGGCCTTTTCTTTTATAAGCTAACTTTATTGAAAAGATTGCACTTGAAAGTAGACAGGGTTTGACGAAACCTGGTTTTCAAGTTTTTCTAGGTCAGTGATATTGGTTGCTCCATCAGCATCCAGCATTAGAAGTAGCTCACCACGTGAATGAAGCATTCCCTGCTTGAAAATGCTTTTTAAAAAGGAGTCTCACCAACTTGCCATCACGAAATGGTGTAAAGATAAATCACATAAGAGTTACAAATAAAGTGCAAAGCCCATACTCACCTTCCTAGTAGCTTCCCCTTTTCCATGATTTTTCCCAAGAAGTATAACCCTCACATTTTCTACAGAGTACTTCCTAACCAAATTGAAAGCTACTCCTTTAGTTGCATCAACACTGCCATCATCAACAATTACCACCTGTGTTCATGTTGGATGATTAAAAGTTCAGCACAAAAGGGAAAGCAGGCGAAGAAGGTTCCTGAATGACCAAGTCAGCCTCATGCATTATATCACATATTCTTATTCTTTTACCTCAGATGGGCGGAGATGGGAGACAATGAGCAATCATATCTTTTGGTTAATTTTCTACTTATTTTAGTAGAGTAGTCCAAAGATCAATGATCAATTATTTATTAGAAAAGCCCAAACTTAGAGAAACGTTCTAGACACCATTATGTCCTTTACAAATGTTAATTTTAGAGAGAATGATAAAACCAATTAATTATCCTCAGTAATTTAAATTCTAAACTATCCAGTCTCCCTAATTACTAATTCAATAAAACTAATAAGAATATCCTATCATTTTTAAATTGAGAAATTGAAAAAAGAAAAAAAATGGGGAAGGGGGGTGGTGAGGGTTCTTGAGTTTGGAAAATAAATTCATCTTCGGAAGAAGAAAAGCAAAGGTTTCACTACTCAAGTAGCGTAATTCGTTAATTGTTCAAAAAATCTTTCAAGAACCCTAATCATGGGGAAATTTTCATGTCCTATTGCTAGGAGGGCTTTGAATAAGGGCTTGGGATCTCTTGGTCATAAAGGCTTTAGATGTCTCAGGTTCAAACCATCTCGTGAGCTCAATACAAAAAATCCTTAATGTCTCTCAGGTCTGGGCCTTGGGGCGAGTGCGGGTGGGTATAGTGGAGCAAAGCTCCGATTCCCAGTTATAAAATAATAATAATAATAATAATGATGGGCTTATTTCAATAATCATAAAGAGAATAAACAAATCGGCCCATTCTCCAAGTATAGAAGAATGCTAATGTATATTTTTTAATCTATTTCTGTGGAGTGTGGATAAATCCATATAAAATATTCCAGCATCATGAGCTAATGGAAAAAGAAAGTGAATATATCATGGAATAATAAGCAAGAAAGTATAGGCATATAAAAGATAGATTATCAACAAACTAAAAATACCATTTTTCTTAGAGTATTCACGATCAATTCCCATGATCAAGAGACAATAACAAAAATAAAAAGAAGAAATGGAAAAAAAAGAAAGAAAAAGAAAAGAAAATACCTCATATGAAAATGTTTTGTCCTTTGCTGCACGTTGTCGAAGGTAACTACAAAGCAAGGCAGGTATGAGATTATACTTTGTCTAGTAGCTTGTTTTAGGCCTCTTAATATTTTCTATTTATAGGAAATAATTATGGCCTTGAAAAGTTTAGAAACATGCTCTTAGGGTTTTTCTTTGGCAGTCGTATCTAGCTAAGTAGAGACTATTAGGACAAATCTGTGCGGAGGGGGTTGTATACAGAGAAAGCCAAGATCAAAGAGAGCTATTGGGCATAAAAAATAAGTGCAAATATTTAATTGGAAAGAATGAAATGCTTTAAGCAATGCTTCAAAGTACTTAATAGTTTCCTCAAGAGCTCCATGAAGCCTGTACTCTTCATTGTAAGCAGGAACGATCAAGGACATATACTTCTCAGCTGGATCGAAAATTGAAGGGCAAGGAACCTGAAAAAGATTCCAAAAAAACTTGCTATCATGCATTCTACATAACACTTGGTATCAATTTTGATCCAATATTATAAACATAAACATGATGTGATATATAATGTCCATCAATTTATTCCAACAGGAAAACTATAAGTTAATTTTACTTAAAGGAATCTTTTTTCTTATTTATGAACTACTTGATGCAAACAAAGAAAAGGCTTTTAATTTGAAGTCATAATTCAGAATATTATTAAGCCAATTGTTTGTTAATCTTCAAATCATGGTTGCTCCAGGGTCCCAAAACTTCATGGTATCTCAGCTGTTTCAAATAGTCAATCATGTTCTGCAGAATAAAAGTAGGTTGTTCGATCTCATTTAACCAGAAAGTAAACTTGTCTTCAGCATAATGAACAGAGTTCCAGGTGCAAACCTGGAAATAGTTAATGAACTTATTTTCCAAGATTTAAGTCTAGGCTTGGTGAGAGCATTTTAATTGTTATTGTTATTTTCAAACTCAATAATGTTTCAGTATCAAGTTTTAATCACATTCAAAATTATCTAATCCAATTGCAGTTTGTTGAAGAATGCTTTGTTAATTTATCTTCTGAAATTAATAAAAAAAACTTCAAGTTCTTTTTTTTTTTTTTGGATAATAAAACAATTGATTAAGAAGTCAAAAAGACAAAATAACAGCCTAAGGATAGGGGACGAGGAGGCCCCTTCCGGAAAAACTAACAAAGCAATAAAAACTTAAGTTAGTCTCATAATTTTGCATTTTCCCTCTAACGATTTCAAACAATCATATCCCCAGCTTAATAAATCATAGACCAGCTAAGCAACCATCTCAACAACGACTTAAACCAGGCAGACTTCCACTACACCTAAGCAGCCCCAACAACTATCTGCTATATCTTCCGCTGCTTGATTTAGATGTATAAGGCTTTAACTATCTTATAAAGAGAACTAAGGTTACTCCAATCATTTGAGCAACCACAGATTGAAACTCAACTCAGGTTATTTGTAATTATAAGTGTGAGTGGATTGTAAATGATCAAGTATCAATCACTCCTTGGTTGGTTGTAAACTTGTACCATCGTCTCACTTGGATGTTGCAATACAAGTCTCATTGTATGACTTCAGAAGAGCTTCGGAAAGGACTTAAGGATTACTGTGGGTGTCCTCAAAAAGAATGGGACAAAATCAAGGGCACCTATGTTACTGGAGCAGAGGATGGGATCTTAACTCCCAAAAGGTACTGACCTCATCTAGTCCAAAAACGGAGATTGAAAATGAAGAGGAAAGATACAGTATATAATCGATAAGGAGCTCTAGCCTCTCCTCATTGGAAAAGGTTAAAGGTTATGAAGAATTTACTGCCTTGCTTAAAAAAAAAATTGGACCCTTTTTCCTCTCTCATCAGAATTAAATATCGTTGGGACTCAGATAATTCCCTGCACAAGTTAAAGCCAGATTCGTTGAGGATTCCATCAAAATCCTAGAATAAACTTCAATGAATTATGAAACCCATATCCCTATTGTTAAATCTTCAACTATCAGAATCATCCCAACCGGTTCCCATAGCAATAACTAGAGGCTGTGAATTGAAGCGGTGGGATCTCTTGTTTTTATATGAATAAAAAAAAACTTTCATAAAAAGGCAACTGGATATAAATAACTCCTTTTTGAATGGATAGATCAAATAAAATGGGTATATGCTCCAACTGGAAGGATATGTGAATTGTGGACCCAAAAAACCCTAAACATGAATGCAAGTTACACAAGGCATTGTATGGTCTAAAACTAGCTCCAAGGCTCAAAAAGTTCAGAACAACTTCTACTAAGTTGGGGCTTTATGACTCTAAATCAGGTTCTTTGTTCTTCCTTGTCTATATCCTCATTTATGTTGATAATTGATTAATAATAGAAAATAGTAATGCAAGAGTAAAAGAGTTCATTACAGACTTGAACAAAGCAAACACATCGTATCTAAGAATCTTGGTGAGTTGCATTACCTTTTGGGACCATATGAAAAGATGACTCTGGGATCTATCTATAACAATGCAAGTATGTCATTGTTATCTTGAGAAAATTGAACTACACTTGAAGGCCTGCTCCACTCCTGCTGTACTAAGGAATTAAAAAATGTGGAATATGAATTGATGAGTGACCCAAGAACTTTCAGAAGTGCAATAGGGGTTCAACAATATTTAGCTTACGCAACACCCAACATAACTTGCAGTGTGAACAAATTAGGTCAACAATTCCAAAGTCCAACACCCATCATTCGTAAGGGGTCAAAAGAATCCTTCCATACTTGAGGGGAACATCAAGCCTCCATATAAAACCTTGTGAGACAATCCGTTTGCTTAGTTTCTTAGATACCAATGGGGCATGAAGCAAGGAGGGTAGAAGATCCATAGGAGAACACTGTGTCTATCTTGGTGAAAGTTTAGTTCCAAGAAAATCCAAGAAGCAAGGTGTTGAGTCCAGGTTAAATGCAGAACAAAGACTATAGATCTTAAGCTAATGTGATTGTAGAGTTAACTTGGACCAGTCTATTCTCAAAAGAACTTCACATTGATCTGTCCTCGTGTCCTATCTCTTGGTGTCATAACAATAGTGTTTGTGCCTTGGCTGTAAAACCCAGTCTACCATGTACGGACCAAACATCTAGGGTTAGATCTCCATTCCATAGGAGATAAAGTTATCAACACAGAACTAGAGCTAAGGTAAATACAATCTTCCGAACAAATTGCAGATCGTTTGACTAAACCAAACCTCTAGCTGCCTAAAAATTTTATTTCTTCAAAGACAAGCTTGGAGTGATTGAAAATTTGAAATACTAACAAGCTCGAGAGTCCATATTAACAAAAGTATTATTCAATCTTTCAAGCGATCAAACGTGATCTCTGACATATAAAAGTCCCAATCGAAGCTCAAAGAAAATGGATCAAAAGTTACCCGTTTCAACGAGTTTGGGTCCTCCAAGATTGCAGGAGCTTCAACGTGCCTAACACGAACCAAATGAATATCTCATCCAGACAGATATACGACGATTAGAAAATTAAAAATTGCATATCATATCATATAATATCAATGAGGAAGCAGAAGTAGCGTACTCGTGATTGAATCTCCTCCTATAAGCTTTGAGGATGATAGCAGAAACCAAACCTGCGGCGAAAGTAAAAAAAAGGCTGATCAAAATGAAGAATATCGTCCATGGATACTCCATTGGCTAGCTCAAATTGCAGCGGGGGGGCCGAGAGGTTGGCGGCTTGGCGCTACTCCGCCCTTGAGCAGTCTACAACTGGAGCTTTCCAAAGAATATAAAAAAGAAAATGAGTTAATATTCGTTAAATAACGTATGTTGGGAATCTTAATCAACAAGCCCGTCTAGCTCAGTCGGTAGAGCGCAAGGCTCTTAACCTTGTGGTCGTGGGTTCGAGCCCCACGGTGGGCGTCGTTCTTTTTTTAATTAATTCTGTTCCCAAGTTCTTCTTATCAGCCCAATCCATCTTCATGGGCCAATTATTGAATATGCCGATTGGGCCATATTTCATGTTTGGTTTGGGCCCCAAGCTCATTTTTGGCACAAAAGAATTTGGCCAGCGAAAATATTCTACCTACGATATTATTTCATTTGGACTTAAAAAGCATATGTAATTTTACTTTTGGTTTCAATCTAAAATGTTTCGTACAAATGAAACTATTGTTGAATTTAGGATAATTTTTGGGAAAATCTCTTTCGACTGAAATACTTTTTCACCTTTGAAAGAAGTTCTAATTAAGTGTTTTTAGTAAAATCATTTTAAAGGGTCTTTTAATTTTAAGAATCTCCAAAATTATTTTTTAGGTCTACCGAAAAGTCACGAAATTTTTGAAAAATGCTTCTCATTAACTAGAAGTATTTTCACTTTTTCAACAATCATGTCGAACTCACGTTTACGTACGAAGAATATCAATGTTCTTTCTTACTTCTAACTAGCTACGTGGGACTATATTTAAATCCTCGATAGTTTTTTCAACTAAGTTTTTCTTCATCTGTGTGAGAAATACCATGGACAACATGTGGTTGACCGAAATCAGTTGCAAATCCTCTCTCATGCTACAAACAGGCAACTATTGAACTTAGTTCAAGTTACTTTTCAATGAGAATAATTAGTTTAAATAAGACATGGCAGGTATTTATAAGTAGGGAATTAATCTCGATTGTTTATAATGAGTAGCCAACTCCAACAATAATATAACATGATGTGTGTGATGTGCCACCATTTTCCAATGGTGATGCCAAGCATGGGAAGTAACACTAAAGCCCCTGTACATTTTCTCTCTTCAAAATAATGGTGTCTCCTTATCTCTCTCTACAAATCAAACACAAAAAGAAAATTTTTTAATAAGTTGAAGCCGACAAATCAATACGACAAATTGGGATCCATTGAAAACTCTTCATGTTTTAGCAAAATCAGGAAACCCTATTGGGATTGATTGTGGATAAGAATTCCTGCAACAGAGGAAGAGCGCAATCCTATAATGGTGAAGGCTTCAATTTCATTTGATTCAAGTCAAGTGGTGGTGGTGGTGGTGGTGGTGGTGCTGTACTTGATCATGATGACTCGCGTGATAAAGCTGACTGAGGATGGGCCCTCTCTCTCGACATGATTAATGCCATGGAGTTCGGGGAATCACAAAAAGCTAAGTCTTCTTTCTCTTTTCTCTCTCTCTTTCTTAGACCACAAAGTCATGGTGGTGGTGCAGATTTTGACCTCACCCTTTTAGGTGGTGGTGGTGGTGGTGCTGTACTTGATCATGATGACTCGCGTGATAAAGCTGACTGAGGATGGGCCCTCTCTCTCGACATGATTAATGCCATGGAGTTCGGGGAATCACAAAAAGCTAAGTCTTCTTTCTCTTTTCTCTCTCTCTTTCTTAGACCACAAAGTCATGGTGGTGGTGCAGATTTTGACCTCACCCTTTTAATTGCACCCTCCCCCCACCATTCTTTTCTTTTCTTATCCCCATTTACCTGTTCACCACCACCATTGCTTCACATGCGTCAAGCGTTTGATATAATGTCGCACAGAAAAATAATAGTTGGAAATGAGAAAATGCTTGGAAAGTTTTGGATACTGTGTGAGTTGTGAAACAAATGGGATGTTTTTGGCGTTTTGGGTGAATCAACTGGGGATTTGACACTTCATGTTGTGAAAAAAACAATTGAGTCTGTAGGAGTCGGCGGGTTTCATTTTTAGCATCTTCTGGGATTGGAATCACAGTTTATATGTTGACATGTGCAATGCAGTATATAGCTAATTCGGGATCTTTGAGGAAATTACTAAAGATGAACAGCAGGGGATTACTAGATTTAAGTCTATCCTATTGCCTGAGTTTGGAGATGAAGATTAGGAAAGTAAGTGAAATGGGGAAAAGGGGAGGGATTTTTTGGTGTCTCTGGATGCAAAATCACCAATAAATTATTTTGTAATTACACATAGAATTTCATGTTTTTGAAGAGTGGATGCTCTTCCATGCCATTACAACAGAGACAGAATTCCGCACATAGAAAATGTATACTGCCAGTATATAAGTAGTCCGACCAGTCTTATTCATTCTACGGTACAAATTTCATCTGGAAAAAAAAAGGAAAGAGAAAAGAAAGAGAGAAGAGTTTGAACAAATAAACCAATCACCAATTACCAATCCCCTGCTGCTTGGTTAAAAATACCAGAAAGTGGCAAATCTTGATATGAGATGGAGGAAAATGAATAGTAATGATATAATTAGAGCCTAATAAGCCATGGCGACAGGAGGCGCAGCATAGCTGATGGTTCTCTGGTTGGGCATGGCGAGCATGGCGGTGTGATCCAAGAAATCCTTGAGAGCAATTACGGACTCCAAAATGGTTCTCAAATCATCACCACAAGAAAACCCAAAACACCCTTCTCTTCGAACTGCATACACATAAAAAGTTATGCACCCTTTTCTGAATTTGAAGCGAGCCATCTCGCACCCACTTAGCCCTCTTATCAGCTTCTTGTTCACTTCCCCAAGAGGGATTTCCGTCGGCCAAACACGGTCTAAGGCTGCCTTCATGGCCTCATTTTCGAATACAAAGAGAAGAACTTTGGACTTTTTGGTGCCGAGGCCGAGAGTGAGTGTGTGCCAGGCGTGGTGGGCGAGGATTGTGAAGTTTGTGGGGAGGAAGGCCGTGGCTGAAGGGAACGGCGGCTGGTGGCCGGAGTTTCTGGTGGCCGGCGGAAAAGAGAGGAGCCGGAGGAGTTCTAAAGTCCTGGCTCGCCGGATTGTGAAGGATTTGACAATGAATTGGCCGCCGAATCTGAGACCTTTGACATCGGAGCTTGGCTTGAAAGAGAAATCAGAAGCTGGTTTGGTGGTTTGGTCATTTGGGTGTTGGTGTTTCTGCTTCTTGTTGTTGTTCTTCTTCTTGTTCTTCTTTGTCTCTGTTTTCTCCATGCTTTTCTTTTCTTCTTTGCGCCCTTCTTTCTTCTCCCTTGCTTGTGGTGGGTTTTGTTGTTCCTGCTGGTTCCACAATTAAAAAACCAATCCTCTCCTTTGTCATCGTACAATGAACAACCTTTGTTTCAAGAGTTATTACTGATTTTTTTTTTAAAAAAAAATCATTTAGTTTCCTCCAAAAAACACACATAGTATAATAGAATGTTATGGAAACTCCAAAAAATTATTTTTGTGTTGATAATCGACACGTCAAATCCTCCAAATTGTGTATTTTAATGACATTTTCAAAAGATTTTATCTTTTAAGGTGTTGAGTAAGCATCTTTATTCTTATTTGGCCACTCAGCTTAATGATGATAACAATTCCATTCTTAACTAATGAATTATTTATCTCATAAACATTACAACTCAAAGAGAGAGATGTTGTTGCACAAAGTCGTTATCAGATGTTGTATCGATATCACTGTGTTTGGTGGGAATTAGATCCTAACCATTGGTAGCTAGATCGCATTCCCATCCATTTTCCCCTCAAAATAACATTTTTATTTTTTTATTTTTTCAAAAAAAAAAAACTTATTTAGTAACTATTTCAACTCGATTTGTTGCATAGTTGAGACTAAGATAAAGTTTATAGTAGTTTAGACTTTAGAGGTAGTAATAAGAAAAACAAAACGGATCAATAACTAGTTTGATGTTTATCTTGTAGTTTGAAATTAGGTGCAAACTTTTTTGTTTAAATACTTTTCACTCTACTCGTAGTTATATTTTCAATTTTTGTTTATTTTAGTCTTTGTATTTTCAAAAGGTTCATTTTGGTAGTTCTACTTTTAATAAGTGACCAACTTTGTCCATATTTACAAAATTTTGACACAAAATTAATACGTTTAATACGTATTTATGGCTATATTTCAAAAAATTTAGTGAATAAGATGTGATGCTAAAATTATTATTGAAATAAATAAGATAAAAATAAAAATTAATAGACTAAAATAATTATTTTTTAAAAATATAGGAACCTAAAAAAAGTATAGGAATAAAAATATAATTTCTTTCCTCCTTGAAAATTGGGAAGATTCTAGTTTTTTAGGTTACCATGAACTTCTAAATTTGGTTACATGATGCCCAATTACAGAGGAGGAGGACCACAGAACTGTGAACCCAAATAGGAAAATTACTTGAATCAAGAACTTCATTTGTTTCCCAACTTTCATAATTACACCCATTTGTTCAACTTCTTAACCTTGGAAGGCTAAAAAGTTTCAAGTAATGCTTCAATTTTTAATTTTTATAACCCTTTTTTCACTTCACCTTCCATCGGTAGCATAGATTATAGAATGTATGTTGTTTGTTATATATATATATATATAATACATGAGAAATGGTTATTAAAAGTCCAAAGTATGTTCAAATAGTAGTTCAAGTGGTTTCGTTTTTCATTACCCATTTTGTGCACCATGAATTGATGCTTATAAGAATGGAACATTTTGAAGACAAAAAGAGGGATAAGATTGATTCATATCATAAAAGAAAATTATAGAATTATCATTCTAATATTTGATCAGTATCGTATCAGGAGCTGTTCAAAGTATATATAACTGAACAAGTCGAATTCAATCTTAGAATTTTAATTTCATCAAATTAAGACATTGTACTTGACTACATTGTCATACCAATAAGTTTTGTTAACCAAGTGGCTTATTTCGTAAGGTTTGAGACTACATTTGAGCGTTTTTTAATTGCTAAACCTTTCAGGTGACTTATGTAAAAATTTTCTAACTGATTTAATTATGCAGTCATATTTTTAAAGTAAGTTGGTTTGAATAAAAGTATATAAGATTTGATTCTCAAAAAAGAACTAAAAGGGAGGTTGTATTGAAGACATTTGTTGTATGTTTTGGAGAGAGATAAGGGTGGGTTACCAAATTGACAGCCTAGAAGTCCTTTCAATAAAGCTAGTTTCCTTCTAAAGGCACCATTGCCTTTAATCATATCATGAGAAAAGAAACTTAGAGAGGCCATGAGGAGGACCTAATAAATAACCCTTACTAGGAGGGAGACATTATGGCCCTCACCTAAAGTTTGTTTCACCCCATTCATGCCCTTCTCATTATAATAATATACTCTCTTTTTTTCTTCCATTCCTTAAATTAAATCTAGTTTTGACCTTAGTATTTTAAAATAAAATCTTTTTACTTATAGTTGATTTATTGTGCAAACAATAACTAGTGCACATTGGAGCGGCTTAAATCTCCTGTGGATGATAAAATTGATTCAATGTGGTTAAGAAAACTTGTTTAAGTTGACCACCTTTCATATCAACCTTTTCTTTCCTCATTACCATTGGACTGGGGCAAAAATTTTGATTTTCAAACTTCCTCCACCTCATTCAATTCAAGGCTGTAATTGAAGCAAATACTTGAGCTGTAGAATCATATGATATAAGGCATGTGAAGCATACTGGTAGAAAGGAACTTCTCCCCTTGCCTGTCATTTGCGATATTCATGTACTCAATTTGCTTATTATAATAATTTGTTAGGATAATGCAACTGACCTATAGAAAGAATGCTTTAGAATTTTGATTCTCCACCTCCTATTCTAATTTTGTTAATAAAATTTCAACTTAAAAATGAGGTTAATACTATAAAGGAGGGCTTTTGAAGGTCTACATCTAATGCAATAGACAGAATACCTAACAATGATTATCAATCACCAAAAAGAAAAAGAGAGAGAGGTGTTTGTTGAATAATGATAATGGTGGAGAAGATGAGGTTAGTTTTTGTATTTTGAATGGTGAACATTATTAATCATCAAAAGAAAACTCTTTAAATAAAACAATGATTTTGGTTATGGAATGGAATGGAATGGAAGCCACAACTTTTTCAGGTCATTTGCTTGATTGAACTCACTATTTAGCACCTAATTTTTCAATTTTAACATTGTTCTTTTTTTAACAAATTTTTAGTTTGTCTGTACAATTAATGTCTACAAATATGTTTGCACCTAATTTTTTGTTTTAACTATTATTATAAGATGTTTCGCATAGTCTAGTTTTCATTTTGTAATATAATAAATTGAGGTTATATGTCAATTAATATGTTGATAATTAAAGGTCTAGTTAATAATGACTTTTTTTTTTAAATAATAGTAATAATAATAAAGTTAAAGTTTGTTGGCTAACAACTTTTTGAAATTTTAATTTTTCTTTTTAATTCCCAGTAAAATTTGTGAAAACTTAAAAACGAAGTTTCCGTTTNTTATAACTAACGTAAAAAAAGTAGCGACGAAAGTATTATGTCAAAATTGTAATAAAAAGAAATAAGATGAATATGTAAATGAGATGACTCAAATAGTTTTTTTAAAAAAATATAAAATATTATGAGTTAAATAGTTTTAAAAGTCTAAAAAATTGAAAAGAATTATAAAAATGGTCCATTTCACTTAATAGTTGTCAATAACAAATTAACAATGGAGTTTTCTTCACTAAAAAAGATTAAGTTTTATTAATTAATATACTCATAATTAAGATTCAATAATTATTGAAACATATCTACAAATTAAATGATTAACTTATCAAATCACTACTATTATGTCATATGGATTTTATTGTTCTATCATAACGAGTAATTTGTCGAACTAAAAAACTAATAATTTGTTTAACAAATGTAGAGGAACTGCTGGGATGAACAATCAAACAGTTTATTTAGTATTTTTATTATAACTATGACCATTTCTGAATATGAATCAATAATTATTGAGACAATATTCAATTATTTACTTTATTAATTCAACAACTATTAATGGCTATATTTATTTTTCAAAATTAAAAGTTTTTCATATAATTCATATCAATTAACTTTGTTAATTATATAGTTTATATAAAAAGAAAATGTATGGCTATAATATAAACTTCCAAAAAATATCAATAATTCTTTGCACACTCGATAAAAGTTAAAAGTATCTGATACTTTTTATTATATAAAAAATGATAGATATATTTTTCATAATATCTATGACTATCCCTCTAGATCAAGTAGATGAATAATAATAATTGAACTATCTATGCTATTTTCAAGTGTTAAAATGAAAAAAAAAAAGCTACAATAATAATAATATTAATTGAGTTTATAAGAAAGCCTATAATGCGAAAGACAAATTTCTTTTTGCAATTTAAATTTTGAAAATTAGCCTAATTAATTGTTTAAAGGCTGCAATTTCACAATCCAGGCCTAGGCGAAGGAAGTTCAGACGAGGCCCATCTTACGCAATGACCCGCATCAATAATCGAATGTCATAATAATTCTGGATATTTATTTATACAAAAGAAATAAAGAAAATGAGAGAAATAAAAAGTAAAAGATAAAGTAAATTTGATCAGACAATTGGGAAAAAAATATGCGGTGAAAATGGCGTTACTATGGGTTCAGCTTCATTTAACAGAGTAATAAATTAATAAATAAAAAAAATAAAATAAAATAAAATAATTAAAATACATATATGAGATAAAAATGAAGAGTTCCCAAAAGCCCACAAAAACAACAGGCACGGAATACGGGAGAGAAAAAAGGCAAAAAGAATTAATTTTCTAATTCTATTTTGTATAAGGAAGCCCAAAATAAGAACCAAGCAGTGTTTTCCCTGTCGTTGGTTGTGATTTGTAATCGTAATCGTAATCGTAAATTGTAATTGTATTCCATCCATCCATCATCACATCAACGTTTGCTTGCTCTGCTGCTGCATAAAAATGGAGCCAGGAGCAAACCCAGAACCACTCCCCAAAATGAAGCTGAAATTTCCCCAGTCGCACCCTTCTTTTCCCTTTTATTTCCTCTACATTTTGCAGCTGCATGAACCTCACACCTTCACCATCACCATCTCCATCCGGGTTCACACTTATTTCATACTCATACCCAACAACCAAAAAAATATCAAAATCCGCGGTACACAATTCTTCGTCTCCTCCTCAAAATTTCTCCTTCTCGTCTGTACACAATCTCAAACGGCTCTCAACAACGAGTGTCGTCGCCTCTCAGGCTTTATCTTCCTAATGTTATCGCCATTCACTGGCCTCAAAAACCGATCTGATTCGATCTCCGATTGGAGAACTGACTGAAGTCTCTTCAAATGCCCACTGCACTGCTTGTGGTTCAGAATGTCTCTGCTCCCCAACTGCTGCTGTTTTTCTGGACTAACCGTTCTCTGGCATGGTGACTGCCATTTGGCTTGCAAGTATGCCAGGGATCGCCATGGAGGAAGTGGCATGGAGTTTAGCTTAAGCGAAGACTTCGCAGCTTCAACCATGATTTGAAGAAACTGCTTAAGCCGTGCTGAAGAGCCAACATAGATTACGGGAAGTGAATTCAATATCCTATCATACGATTCAACTGCCCTGGCTATTTCAAAATGGCTTCGGAAGTCGATATCGATAATCAGTCTCTCTGAGCTTCCAGAGCTGTAGTTAACGACATCAATATACTCATGATCTCCTGTAGACGAGAGAGAAGAAGGCGTTATGCCGAATAAAGAAAAGGTGTCTCAACGCAGAGAAGGTTTCAGCCTCCTTTCTTCATATATCAGAGTATCAAACTCCCACATTTTATACCCTTCAGCACTACTAAAAAGGCAGAGAATATCACTTCTCATTTGACGGCATACATTGGGAAACAGAAGCTTATTCTTATGCTCTAAAAAAGGGATCTACAATTGAAAAGTAATTAAGCCATACCCGCACACTCCAAGTTTAAAATTTTCCGTTTCTATTTATTATTTAAACAGAAAATTCTCGATTTTCGAAAGTAAATGAATAAGGTTGTGAGGGGGAATACCTCCAGGGACCTTGCCAGCACCCTGCCATCTGGTTGCACATACAGCAGCATCATAACCTGAGAGTCTCAGTAGCTTTACCAAAGAAAAGCGAATGCAACTGGCGTTGCAAGGAGCAGAATTGTTAATGTGCAAATCCTTCTCATTCATCGACAACGTGAGCGAGTGAACCACCGAAAGCAAATCACTTTCATATTGGGATACTGGATTTTTATAGAACTGGAACAACAAACAATAAATTGTAAGAACTTAATTAATTTATCTCTATCTTTTACTTGGTTAGATCAAAACAATATGCAGGACAGAACCAAATGACAGAACTAGATAGATGGACTTCATGCAACAGTTCCCAGAGAAAATTCAACATTCAGGTACATTAAACAAGACATAACACGAGTCTTGAATAGGGAGGGTTATATGTTCTTCAAAGAAAAGAAAGGCAGCTGGAGTAGATTAAGCTCCATGATATTCATTTTTTTACCTGTAATTCAATTTTAAAGCACTTGTTTAAGTGATATAACTATTGTCTAGAATTGCCCATACATCAACTAATAAATCGCCTCAAATTTATCCAATTGGACACCAGAAGGCAGCCAAAAGAACTTACAAAATCTAGCCACAAAGATACTCAATCCGACCCTATCAAACAACAAAAAAGTCCCAGGCTCAACGCCAATATGACCAAAGCTCGTCCAAAACAAACTCTCAATGAAAAAAGAACATCCACTATAGGAATTTCGTTAAAGTACAAGAATTCCAACATCCAACTAGAGATCTCCAAAAGACATGCACCCAAACAGTGGTTTTCATTTTACAACTAATTCAAGTCTATAATTCGATTTGATGAACATAAAAGTTAAAATTCAAAGGACTAAACTTGACCCCTCTAAACAATGAGTTTAAACAAATTCCTACATTTTTGAAAGGGGTTAATTTCGATTTCTCGTTTTCTAACCCAATTCTCGGATCAAATAACAAATACATAGGCAGCAGGACTCCCAACCGCAGTTCCAATCGATACTTCAATATTCATAATCACTATTCATAGTTAATAATAAGGAAAAGAACAAAAATCCCATTTCCAGTAGAAAAAGATATAAAGTTATTTCCGTCCGACAAAAGAAAACGTAACCGTCCAATTTCCATCCAAGGAGATTAAAAGATCATGGCAAACGTTCAATTGCTCGGAGGATTATAATAAACCAGTCCCGTTTAGTAATCATAAACATTAAACACATCAACAAGTCAAAAACATATAATTATATTTTCCAAAAAAGAGTAATGATATAATTACATCCACAATTCAGCGAAGATATCTACAGAACCAGGCTAAGAACAAATCAATCAACAAGAGAATTTACCAGAATCTTCTCGGCAAGATAAGGAAGATCAGAGACACCAGAATCGCTATCGCTGCTACACCAAGACTCGGCCCCACCGCTCCCATTTTCTAAGAAATCGCTGACCATGAGAGCCAAATCGTGCTCGCTCTCATGGCTAAAACCTCCCATCTGAGCCACACCCCCGAGTCCGATTCCGCCTCCACCGCGGCCGCCTACCTTGACCCATAAATCCCCACCCGGAACGCATACCCGGCAGTCCATCTCCGGGGCCACAAAACCTTCTGTTTTACCACTATCCCTGTACCTCTCCAGCTTCCCACGGCCCTCTGATTGAAATCACAAATGCCCTTTCCCATCCCCTGGATTAGCGAAATTCATCGTCGTATTCACGATTGAACACAAAAAGGGGGGGAAAATTGAATTTGCGCGTTTCCGATTTTGCACCAATCAGAAAAATTGGATTACGGGTAATTGGTATTATCGGCCGCTTGGTTCTTGAAATACGATCCAAATGGGTAGAGAAGAAATAAAGAGCTGAAAAAGAGAGACCAAAAAATGATGATGCCTTTTTTTCCTGCAAAACCCAAAGGATCCAAAGGACGGTGGACGGAACGAACAACGAAAGGGGGATGAAGTGCATATAAAGCAGAAGATAAATAATGAAAGGACGAAAATATCCTCCGATATTCTTGTAGACCAAGTAAGTCTCCTCGTTTACGCGGAAATATCGTAATAGTGGATAAGGAGGGAAATTTATTTAGTTGAACCAAGACGCAAAATTAAACAAATTCTTATTTTTTTTCCCATTAATTTAAGCTGTTCTTTCTTTTTTCTTTTTTCTTTTTCTAATTATTATAATAGAGTTCGAAACAGAATTGGATTTTGTTTTCACCTACCACGGATAAAAATCCGTTGGGTAGTTTAAATCTTTTACCTTTTTGTTGTTAAATTATCTTAATTTCAGTTGGCAACAAAAACTGCCAAAAATATCGAAACCAGTTAGATTCTCCGGTAAAAGATATTTGTTATTGGTAGGATTTTTCTAAGCTATCATCTGCCACGATTAAATTAATTGAATCAACCAAGAAAATAATAGTGTGACCGTGGCTGGCTTTGATATAAAATGGGGTTAAAAATGAACTGGTATGGAATTGCCACGATTAGTAACTTTCTATATCACTAATGAAAAAAAACACATTTAATTTCTATTGAAATGACACATAATCGAAGTGGGTACTTTCTAATCAGAAATTTTATTTTGCTTATCATGTTCTAGCTTGTTACCAATATTTTCACCTCACCTCCAACTAGATTACAGGTAGGCAACCAACTTGATGGAGCTAGTTGTTTGTTCAAAATCAAGCAATAACAAAGTCAAAATTGAATTAATTTCTATTTGTTTTTTAAATTTTTTAAAAAGTGATTCTCTATTTATGTTGGTGAGTAGGTATTATAATTTTCATTTCTGGAAAAGATTCCAAACAGACCGAGAAAACTATTGCAGGAAAAAAAACCACTTTAATTTATTTAGTTAATTTTTTTTTAATTATTTTAGAAAACAATTTGTCCATTTTTGTCATTTTATTAGATTTCTTCTATTCCCAGAAATAAGTCGTCTTTTCTACGCTAAGGGAAAAAACTAAATAAAAAATTGATATCTCTTTGTCAAGAGGATGAAATTATATTAAAATGAATACCGATACTGTATAATCGTAAACTGTTTAAATTTGACCCAATATTTCGAGAATTCTATTTGGTTTTGTTTTGTTTTTTTTTTTTCTTTTTAATATAACAAATAGGATTTGGTTTGATTTTTTAATTTTGAATAAAAGAATGAGATTCGATTCCCGTGTTTTGTTGAATAATTCTGAAGCAAAATAATAAAGATAATTTCCCATTTTAATGTATAAAATAATAAACAGAAGGCAGAAAAGATGGGATATATATTAATTGACATTAAACACAATAAAAACTAGCCACCTAATCTCCACCTAACAATATAGGCTGCAAAGGGTAAAGTAGTCATTTAGCGGATCAACCTTGGAGACCAAGTCACAATCAAACATCAATAAAACGGGTTTTTCCATCTATTTCATTCATGATGATCTAATCTATTAGATTATAAATTATAACTTTTTCTTATAATTTTATAAAAAAAAAACTTTTTTATATAAAGATTAGACGTGATAATGATGCTAACTTGAGTAGAATTTGTTAATTAAGGTATGTATTTTATATCAAAATATCATATCTTTAAACACACCTCTACATATTACCCGATGTTAATTTATTGAATTTACATGTCTATTTTTATAATAATTTTGTAGTGTAATTTTATAATAAAATTTAATTTGACAATTTTAGAAGTCATCATACTTCAATTTAAAATAAAAAATTTTCTATTTCAAAGTATATGGAGAATAATTTGGGTTGCGTATAAATTAGTCAAATATCTACGTGAGTGAAAATACAAATATCAATTCAGTCATTATAATTTAACATTCTTTTCAAAAACTCTCCAGTTGAATCTAAATTTATTCTTACAAATTAATTTTATAGTCCCCTAAAATAATGTATTTAATATGACGATAATTTATAATGAAAATGACATGCAAGATTTAATAAAATTAAAAGAGCAACAAGATAAAAAGAGTTTTTTCTATTTGAATACAACACGTGAGGTTTAGAATTTGAGTTCGTAATATTTTAATCGAAAATAAGTCTTTGTTAAAACAACCATAACTTAATGTTGATTAACAAATATCTAAAATAAATATTCTAACTCCTTGAGATAGGAAAAAAAGTATATACTTTATAAAAATGAAGAAAAACACGCCAACCATATGATTTGTATTTATTGTTGTTTTTAAAATTTAATATGGGAGGAGGGGGAGCCACCGAAGCGGTGGCATCTGTCAGGAACAGATCACCAATCAATTTGAGGTGCGGTGACACGTGGTCTTTTAACGACTTAATGGGGACCATAATTTATAAAAAAGAGAGGGAGAGACCAGAAATATTAAATCGTGTGGCTGTGGTATTAAATCATGGATTTTGCCTTTTAATTGTATAGCTATTATATGGGTCCTTAATAATTAAGAATGGAAAATGAAACAAAATTTTGCATACCCATTAATAACAATTTGATGTGTATTTTAACCCGACATACGATTTTCTACAATCCAAATATTCAACCTATAGAAAAAATATTTTGTTTAAGTTTAAAAAAAAAAACAAGAAAAATACCAAGATTCCTTCTCCAATTTCATAATCTAAACCGAAAACAACTACAATAGATTAACATATAGAATCCAAAAAACTTAAACGAGCAACTTTCTTTTTTTATCTGGATAAATTATTATTTTAATAGGGGAGAATGAATATTCTAGTAAGCGTAGGGAGCGCAGGGCTCCCCCGAGACAGGAGCCCGAGCGCAATCAAGAGACCTTATAAACATAACAAATCAAATTTGCATAGTGACTAAATCAAAATTCGATAATAATGAATAGAAATGGCAAAGCCAGAAGCATATCTAGTAGCAGACGCAAAGAGAGCATGGTCAGGTTACAGGAGTCTACAAGAAGAAGGCTAGGTTACAACAAACAAGCTTTCCCCCTTTGTTTGTTGTGGGTCGCGCTTCAACGCAGGCACTCAATGAATGAAATGAGTGGAGATCTTCCTTCCCCCTTGTTAATTACCAAGAATTTCGTTGCCACTGGTGGTGAAGAAAATTTCTACCATCCCACCCAAAAACAACTCGGAGCCTAAACTAAAGAGAAGAGAGTTCAGTCTACAAGAAGCTGGCAGAGCTTTAGCCATTGGACTACATCCATCGAGACTACCTAAATCGCTGTCTCTTATACACATCTTCCATCAGGACTACTTAAATTAAAAGAGCCACGTTAGTTTTGAGATGAAACTCATGAATATTAATAATATATAGATTAAAAAAAAAAAGAGAACATGATTCAAGAAGCTAAGCAGAGTGTTTTGGAATTGAAGGGACCAAACTTGGAGGGAAAAAAAGGGACCAAATGAATATAAAGACGTTAATTATTTGCTACAAAACCAACACCCTCTTTTTCTTTGGCCATTCAACAATGGAATCTAATAATTGTACCCAAAAGTAGCTAGCCACATCACACCAGCTCTCCTAAAATAAAATTAATAAATAAAAAAGCAATAATTTGCATGACAATAATCAAGAGCAGATCCAGCAAGGATTAGAACCACGTAACCGTGAAAYTAGTTTCAATTATATACGTGGTGTTATTTTAACGAGAAATTAATGTTTGGTTCATTGGCTTACGTCAATCCCTCTAACCTCCGATGTCCTTCACTACAAGACAAAGGAGAGAGGGGAAGCTCCCCCTCTCCTTCGTCCCCTCTTCATGGTCGATGAAGATCTCCAAAGGTCAGCAACGGTGGCAGCAGTGACATTCACTTAGCATGGCTAGTTGAAGCTAGTTTGTGAGTTTCAACCAAAGAGAGGAGGAAGAAGAAGTTCAAATGTTTAGATAATTTGAAAAAGAGAAAAAAAAAGGGAGAAACCCAATTATATATTAAAAAAACTAAATTAAAAAATAGTAAAACAAAATCCATCTAACTACCACGTTGTCTTATAGCTAGTCAACTAAATCAAGTAAAGGTTAAAGCAGGTAAAAGACTATTTGAAATTATTTTCTAAATTCTAAAGTCTCTTTTTAAAACTATTTATAATTAAGTAAATGACCATTTAAATTTAAAGGCGTCTCTTTTAAAACTTAGGATCAATAAATAAATAGTGATTTTTAATAATAATAATTATTATTATTTTAATGAAAGGTAACTTTAAACTTCAACAATAAAGAACTATTAGAGATTAAAGTTGCAAGTAGGGAGAGGTATTAAATTAAAGTTCAGTGACGTGGAATCTTGAGGGGATGTAGATATGAGATTGGAATTATGAGAAAAAGCAGTTTCCCATCCCAAGAAATTTGGAAACGGTCCTTCATCCACCCAATGATTAAATCAAATGTAGCCTATAGGCATGTGCTTTCACTAAAATTATGACACCGACAGGTGACGAAATCAATATTTCTTATCATTTGTTTGGATTGGATATAGCCTATAGGCATGCTTGGAATGGGCTTTCCAACTGGAGAATGTTTGGACCGGCCCAACTCTACTAGATTTCGATTCATTTAGGTCTCAACCTTTTTCCCAAAGTTGATATTTTATTTATTTTTTAAAGTTAAATTATCAATTGGGTTTAATTTCAATTTTGTTCCAACAATTTAAAAGTTTCAATCAAGTTGATGTGATTTAGTGTCCATTTGAGACGACTTTTTGAAAAATTACTAATTTTGAGGATCTCTAGTATAGCTTTGTACTGATTTTGGATTACTAAAGGTACTTTTTAAGAAATCTACAATAAATAATAAATATTAAAAAAATTATTTAAAATATATTGTTTTAACTCTTTTTTTAAAAAAGTGATCGACCAAAAAATCAATAGTAAAAAAGTACATAATTATGACGTTTGAATATAGTAGAACTAAACGGCACACTTGTAAATAAAAATTGTAACCAAATGCGTAATTAAAATTCTTTTTATTCAAAATATTTTAAGATAAAGTACACAAATCG